TAAATTTAGGCTTGAAAACAACTTTGTTTCAGCTTTGAACTTCACACCTGCATTGATTTGGTTCAAATGTATTTCTGCCTCGAAAGTTGGCTGGAAGAACTGTTAAGTAGCCCAAAGGATTAGTACTACTGCTGTTCCAAAAGCACAACCTTTCTGCTTTTGCTTGCCTGGACAATTTTAAGAATTGTTGGAAAAATGTGATTTTAGTAGAGGAACCATTCGCTTTCTAGGTTTTGGTTTTAAGTTTCCCTGTAAAGCAATAATATTGTAACCACTGATCACAATTATGAATAGATACAATACTACATATTGCTAACTGAAATGCTTGAATGGTCATACAGACTCATGTTGCTTTGTTTCCTTTGCTGGGGTTTTAATAGACATGAACACAAGTCTGTAGCTTCTGGAGTTGAGGGGTAAAACAAAACTACGTATAATTTAATCTCTAGGGAACTTGGGGAAATAAATATTGATGTCTTGAAAGTAGTCCACATTACAGAAGAGGATATGCTGGAGGTCTTAAAAAGCACAAAGGTAGATAAACCTCCTGGAGCTGATAAAGCATATCCTAGGACATTTTGATAAGCTGGGAAAAATTTGTAGGGCTCTTAGCAGACACATTTGTAACCTTATAGCCATAGCTGAGGTACCAAAAAAACTGGAGGATGGCTAATGTTGTGCCTTTATTTAAGGCTGCAAAGTGAAGCCTGGGAACTATAGAACAGTGAGTCTGACGTTAGGCAGGATTTACATGTATTTGAAGGGGCTGATTAGGGATAGTCAGCATGCCTTTGTGCATAGGAAATCATGTCTCACAAACTTGATTGAGTTTGAGTGTGAGACCAAGAAAATATGAGGGCAGAGGGGCAGAAGTTGTCTATGTGGACTTTAGTAAGGCGTTTGACAAGTTCTGCATGATAGATTGGTCAGTAAAATTAGATCACATAGGATTCAAGGACAGTTTGCCAATTGGATACAAAATTGGCCTGACGGTAGGAGACAGAGGGTGGTGGTTCAGACTGGAGGCCTGTGACCAGCAGTGTTCCGCTACTGCTTCTTGTCATTTAATATAAACAATTTGGATGAGAATATAGGAAGCATGGTGAGTGAATTTGCAGTTGACACCAAAATTGGTGGTATAGTAGACAGGGAGGAAGCTTATCGAAGATTACAAAGGGCTGATGAGTGGCAGATGGAGTTTAATTAAGATAATGCAAGGTGTTGCAATTTAGGAAGATGTACAAGGGCAGGACTGAGACAGTTAATGTATGGCTCTGGGCAGTGTTATAAAACAGACCTAGAGGTTCAGGTGCATAGTTCATTGAAAGTCATGTTACAGGTTGACAGGGTGATAAAGAGATATGGCATGATTGTCTTCATTGCTTAGACCCTTGAGTTTCAGAGTTGGGACATCATGTTGCACTTGTACAGGACATTAGGTGAGGCCACTTTTGGAGTACTATGTACAGTTCTGGTCACCCTGCTATAGGAAATATTATTAAATTGAGGAGGGTGCAGAAAAGATTTACAAGGATGTTACTGGAACTGGAGGGTTTGCATTATAAGGAAAGGCTGGATAAGCTGAGACTTCTTTCACTGGAACGTAGAAGGTTGAGGGGTGATAGTGTAGGTTTATAGAATCACAAGGGACATAGATAACTTGAATAGCAAAGGTCTTTTCCCTAGGGATGATGAGTTCAAAACTAGAAGGTATAGGTTTGAGGTAAAAGGAGAAAGATTTAAAAGGGACCCGAGGAGCAACTTTTTCACCCAGAGGGTGGTTCGTATGTGAAATGAACTACCAGAAGTGGTAGAGGTATGTACAATTGCAATATTTAAAAAATGTTTGGACAGGAAAGATTTAAAACAATATGAGACAAATGTAGGCAAATGAGACTATAGTGTTTGGGAGTTGGATCAAAGGGTCTGTTTCTGTGCTATATGTCCTACTTTCCACTTCTTGTTTATGAATAGTGACAGCTTTTTCCACAAAGAATGGTAACTGAATTGTAAATTGTTGATTCATTAGAAGGTGGATATTATGCATCCCTAAAAGAGAATTAATACATTTGTTTATTTTTATGATTGAAATGAGTAATCTAATCCTGTTTTTAAAGTGATCCATATCTTGGAAGTGAATTTAAAAATGTCAGATTGGTCTTCCACTGAATTAAATAACCTTTTTCTGCTTAGGTTGGACTTAACATTACCATTCCAAAATTGTCAATTCTTTCCCTTCTCTTTCAAACTCTCCCCTTTATTAATTAAATTTTCTCACATCTATGCTTAAATACATATCTCTTGTTGCATTACAGTTCCATAGGAATGACTGCATTCTAGTAGCTACTTCAAGTTATTTGTGATATTTAGCAAGTGATACTGAGCAGGGTGAAGACAAATCAAAATTATAATGTAGCCTAATACTACTGCTATCTCCTGATAACCACACCTACATACATTCAACATTGATTATTTCATGGTGTTGGCGTTTTTTTCCCTCCAACTGGTATGCAACTGAATCACGATAGGATGATTAGATAACTATTGTTCAAAAGTTATTATAAGAGGGACATGTTTCAGCGTTACTACATCACCATGTACACAGACTGGAAATATACTATTCTAGATTTAAGATGCAGCAGGTTACTCATTTGTAACCTTTTTCTTGTTTCAGATGAAGTCTCCATTCAGTTAACAGAGATGTACAAACAAGAACTGCAGCTGAAGCACGTAATTGTTCAAGAGATTGCTCACACTAGTAACAGTGATCTTATGAAAGTGGAGTTATCTGCCTGGCTATACCAGCCTTATATAGAAGAAAAGGCAAGACTTCTCATTGAAAGCATGTTATTGGAAACTGGGCACAGGACTTTGTAATAAAAACATGATTGCAAAACAGTAATCTGTACTGAGCAAGTTGCTGCATTTCTGCAGAACGGTGTTCCAACTTTAAAAAGTGTGTAATTTTTTTAAAAATGGCTTAGCACAGAGTTAGGTATGTATAGGAACTTAACCTGAAAGTGACTGAGCTCAAATTAGAAGCTTATATGAATAGTTGAAACAGAAATTACATGATCAGCAAAAGAGATTTCACCCATTATCAAATTTTGAACTTTTAAAGTAGGGCAGAATCCAATAAGACAATGATTTGTGACAAAAGGCAAAGAAAAAATATATTTATTCTTTTTAGAAACTCTGAAATACTTATGCTGAAAAAATAATTTTGTCGAAATTATTAAACAATGGTCCTGAAAGATATTTAAAGTTATATTTTGTCTTGCATTCTCAAGCAATGTAAAAACAAAGAATACTAAAACTGCAAAAAAAAAGGCTGTTGTGGTGGCATATTTTGAACTATTCCATATATTGCTAATGGTTAATGGAGCTTGATGGTAGACTTGTAAGATTTTCACCCTATTAAATCAGCATAGCAGCTTTCCAAAATATTTAGACCCACGTAGTGAGAAAATCACAAGTGCTCTGCATTAAATTCTACAGCAAATATTTATAACAGTTTAACAATGGTTCATAATACAATGTACAAACCAACCTTTGGCTTGTTACAAAAATGATCCTTGACAGAGAGCAGTTCCATTTTGTAATAACTCTAAAAAGTTATGATTGATCGCCAAATCCATCATGAAATTGTCAGATAACAACAATCCCTGTCCAATTGGCTGAAGAATATTACTAATGGTGTTTAAACACCCCAATTAAGGCAACAAAACTGTCTGTCAAGATTACAATGTACTGGTAAGCAGAACATTACAAAATATCTGTATATTAAAATAGAAAATAAATTCCATTTTCTACTATCTTCATATCAATCTTTAAATATTTTCATTATTTACAACAGTCAAATTACAGCAGTTTGATAAAGGTTCGTTGCACACTAAAGAAACTGGAAACTACTAACATGCACAACACAGTCTTAATACATACTTGACAAACGGCCTGCACAGGTAATAAATGAGCTGATATGTACATAGCTTAGTAATGCAACTTTCCCATTTCCACATCCTCTTAAACCAATGCTGAAGGACACCAAGTTTCACAGTAAATGCATCACTTACATCAGTTGAAGGGCGGAAAAAAGGAATGTGTACGGGCACTATTGAAAACCTGCTTTACGACTGCAGTTTTGTAGCCAAGAAATTACAGACCTGACTTTGATCTTTTCTCTAACAAAGTTTACATTTGAGTAATAACTAAGCACTACAGGCTGCAACTTCCCCATCTCAAAAAAATCTAATTGTCTGTTAAAAAATTATGGGTAAAGGACTAGAAACTAAAAATTATAGAGACTTTTCAGCCAATTATTTTGCAATACGAAGGATGATACCTTCATGGTAAAGGGAAATTTAGGAGAAAAAAAAAACAGAACTATACTTAAAAAGAACTTACCTTTAAAGAAAAATTTTCATTCATAAACCTTTGTTTCCTAACCTTGGATTGATAATAAAGCTAGAGATCCATGAACCCCATCATAAAATAAAATGTTTAGAGTCCAAAAATACATTGGTGCCATATTATTTTTGTAAAATTTTACATGCGAAACCCAAGCACTTCAGAGCTAATATGCAAAGCTTCAACTTCATTATTGTCTCAAAAGGTTTTCTTTTCCTTTTAAATTGAACATTTGTAGATTAGCCAATTAAATTAATACTGGTATTAAAAAGCATTGTGCTCTAATATTTGTAGTGAATTCCAATTCTTTTGGCCATAAGTTCTTAATCTGATTAAGTGATCACAATGTCTACATCAGTAAAACAATAAAAGAAAGAACAAAACACGTCCTTGTATTTCAAAACTGCAATTTAAATTCACTATAAATCAGAAACTACCAAGTGCTTTTATGCAACCTGCAGGCCTTCCACAAATTTAAATGAAGTTTTGTATCATTTACAACTGATACTTTGTAACACAGTAAGGACAAGTTAATTTTTGTAATTCATCTTAAAGCAGGAAAGTACTAAGGTTAAATAATTAAGATTTTTCAATTAGCGAAGAAACCATGGGCTTTACATTTATTATAATTTTTCATGGAAGTACAATTCATCTTTTAATGGCAGTTTCAAGAATTGGTAATAGAATGTATACAAACACTATATTGGCAAAATAATCATTTTCAATAATCAATAAGGTGTCAAAAATGCAAAGAAAAAGCATTCAAATTCAGTGCAACATCATCACATTTTCTGGTCTATTGCAATCACATCTATCTCTCAGGATACTTCAATAAATGTACCCGGATTCATTCACACTTACAAATATCTTGCCAAGCATAATGCGACATTCAAGGTAAACCATTCTTGAAACTTTACACCCAGTTTTGTACCAGTCTTGTTAGCTTGTGGAACAATAAAGTTCAACATAAAATGCTATAAATGTTCAACGTAACACAACAGGAAAGAAACTGGAGACTTTGTTTCAAGAAAACTGTACAGGTCCATTTTTGTGTTTTCTCATTTCATTGGACAGTAAGGTTTCTCATACTTTTTTTTGAGATGGGGCAAGGACAACCAAATTATTGTTCCACTTCAGTTGGTGTTTGTGTAACTAACAGGCCTTCACTTTGTCCTTCTGAATCCATTGCAAGAAGTGCTTCCACAGTTTCAAATGGAACACCATCAGGGGTTCGTATGTGCATTGTGGTGCCATCAGCATTAGTTACTATAACAATGCCTTCAGATGTCTGTGACACAACAGCAGTTCCTTCGTGTGATACGATTAGGCCCTCGGAAGTTTGAATGAATATTTGTTCATGTCCCTGAGCCAACAATTCCTGACTTCCAACAGGTAGTTGAAATTCTAATGCTCCATTTTCTGTCACTGTGCTTTCTAAGATATCTTCTGAACTCTCCTGATTTCTTTGATCAGCATTCTGTTCAAAGTGACCTATTATCTTATTTTGATTCACTACTTGCAATCCATTCAATTCTTCGGGAGATACCTGACCAGCAAGATCTACTTCAGTAGAGATGTCAGCTTCAAAAGTCTGTTCAGGCTGGTGCTGCTGTAAATGGTTACTTTCAGAACTACAAACCTCCACATCACGAGACAATGCTTTTTCAAGCTGCTGCATCTGGTCTGCTATATCAGAATCATTTAGCTGCTCAGCCTGTTCCGGATTGCCAAGTGGATCCTGGTTGCCCAGCTGATGCTGCAAAACCTGAACAGAGTTGCTTGCTTCAGAAGCTTTTTGGTTGCCCTTAGCCACAACTGAAAGAAGTGAATTCTGACCAGTAATCTCATCCTCTGATTGTACTGTGGTTAATTGAGTATCATTCAGCTGCTCTGGAATATTTTGATAAGACAACTGTTCTTGAACTAATTCCTCTGCTGTAATATCTGTGTCCATAGCTAAAAAATCATCTTGTCCCTCTATAGTACTATTTAGAACTTCATTATGTTGCTCCAACAAAGGGAGTTGAGTACTGGATAGTGTTACTTGAGATACCTGATAGCACAATTCCTCAGAAGTAGACTGCTCTACAGAACTGGAATGTTTCATGTTATTCTCAGAAACTAACACTCCATCATCTGTATGCTTGTCAAATACTTGAACATCTGCCGGTCCGTACATTGTGTGTGCCTCAGAAGCATTGAGAGTAGGACACGGAGTTTGTTTCTGGCCTAAAAAGAAACAAAGCTTGTTTGTTTAAGTAAATACACAAATACATTAAAAACTTCCTAATACCAGACAGCTGCAAGTAACAATTACACCAAAACGTTCACGCAACTGCAGTACTTGAAGCACACAATCTTTCATCACTTTCTCTGCCACTTAATACCCACTCAAATAAAAATTCTGGTTTAAAATAAATAATGAAACAAAATTTCTATTTGCTTAACAGTGCACTAGCTTTTATTGTCTAGTTAGTTATATGCTAAGAAATGCAGAAGTTAGAAAGTTTACAAAATTACTTTAGTGTGAATTAAAAAGGCCCAAGTATATTTCCTGGTTTAGTTTAAGTAGTAATTTCAATACTAATATTTTGAACATTTCTAAAACAACATAAACAAGGAAATAATTGCAATAGAGTGTTTACAACATTGTTCTTTACCTTCTGGGATAATTCAACACAACAAACATATAAAGGTTTCTAGGACAAATAGTTTGCTTGATTCAATCCTCAGAGTTGGCAAAAAAAAGCCTTGTATTTTTGCATCAAAGTGGAATGCTGTAAATGCAGTGATGTGGCAAAATCCTTATGGGAATGCAATTACTATACAAAAGCTTAAATTATCAGAGATTCAGAGCAACAAAGTGTGGACTTAAGTCCACGATGCATGTAGAAACCCTGTGGAGATTGAGTTTGCGCACAGGCACTTATACTTGGCTACGAAATTTAAATTTCTGATAGGAACAATGGCTTATTATCAATACTGTTTCAGTGCCTCAGGCCTGCTTCACTATTATGGATTATGGCTGATCATCTACTTCAACACCATATTCCTACTCTTTCCACTGTATTTTTTGAGGCTTTTCATATCAAGAAGTCCATCAATTTCTGCCTGAACTTATTTAATGACTGAGCTTCCACATCTCTCTGGGATGGAGAATTTCAAGCATTCACCACCCTCTCTGAATGAAAAAATTCCTCCTCATCTCAAATTTAAAATGGTCTTCCTTTTGTTTCAAGGTTGCGTTTTAGATCCCACAAGCAGGAGAAACATCCATTCTGCATCTATTATGGCTACACCTTTTAGAATTCTGTCAGTTTCTGGGAGATTCTCTCTTATTCCTCTAAAATCCAGAGAATACAGACTCCTCATTCTCCCCTCATCCCAGGAATCAGTCTGGTGAATCTCTACTTTGCTCCCTCTATGGCAAGTATTCTGGAAATTTTTCCTTAAGTAAAAGGTACCAGATACTGCAGCGCTGCCTCACTGATTTATACAATTAAAGCAAGACATCTTTGCTCCTTTACTCAAATCATCTTGTGATAAAGGCCAAAATACAAGTTTCTTTCAAAACTGTTTGCTGCACCTGCACGCTAGCTCTCAGTGATGTGTGAACAAGGATGCCTAGGTCCTTTTGGGTATCAACACTTTCCAATCTCTTACTCATTAGGAAATACTCTGCATTTTTATTTCTGTAGATTGCCACCTTGCTTTGGAGGAGACACTCGAGTGTTCCATTGGTTTCAAAAGTGATGCCATCAGAAGTTCTCAAGTCTTGTCAGGACGACGCATGATGGTAATGTTGGAAGGGAGAAACCAGACAAAACGGAATTCAAAACAAGTCCTCAAAAGGAGACCTAGGCAGAAGATACTTGTGTGATATCAATGGCCGCAACAGCAGATGAAGGCTGCTGCAGCAGTAGGGGGATCCTCAGTCATTGAGGTTTCCTTGCCACTGGAACTGGATCTATCTTCTGTCAAGAACTGCGCATCTGATGTGCAACAGCATTCCCATGTTAAAATATGTCCCACACAATGTCCCCTCCAACCAAAAGAATACAACCTTCCCAGACAATGCAGGTCCTATGGCGAGAATGATGGGGACAGGATTGAGAGATCTGGAAATTTCAGCTTCGGACTGACAGGTAGGTGGTGGAGTTTCACAGTCATGGCACTCTTGAAATGGAACAGGAAAGCATTTCAGCAGTTTTCTTCACTACTGAGCTGCCTGTTCCAGGATCTGCTGTGCTCACCCTGCAATCTCAATATCTAAAGGATGTCCTTATTACCAAAGCAGACGATTACCGGACAGACCACCAGCATACCTGCTCTTTTAAGTCCATCAGATGTCACCAGAAGCAGCTGAAGAGAAAGAAACAGTTCAGAAAAGAAGATCAATGTTGAGTGGCTTCAAGAGCCAAGCAGACCAGCAAACTTACAACAATGTCTCCACCAAAATCTCCAGGGAGTTCATTTTAATAGAGTGGAAGAAATCTGGAAATATCTGAAGACAGCCATCATCTCATGTTGTGAAGAAATAACTGGCTACAAGACCAGGAAATACCAAGACTGGCTCAACGAGAATGACCACATTATCCAAGACTTTAATCGACAAGAGGGGAAGAGCTCTCCATGTCTGGAAAACAACATCAGCAGTGAGGCAAAGAGGAAAAATCATCAAACAGCAAAGGTGGAGTTATAAAGAAGAACTAGGGAAATCAAGTACCAATGGTGGACTAAGCAAGCTACGGAGTTCGAACTGCTCGCTGACAAGCACGATACTTGGTTTCCCTAGTGTCACCAAGGCAATATACGCATTTAACACCCTTGACCTCAAACTAGTGCGGTGCAACGATGGTACCCTTTTGAGTGACAGAGAACACAAAGAACCCCTAAACTGCAATTCAATCGTTGATAAGTACTTGTTTGAGGAAATCCCCCAACACCCCATTAATGATGATCTTAGACTCCCACCGAAGAACGGAAAAGCTGCAGAAGTAGAGGTGATTCAGCAAAGATTTTCAAACATGGAAGAGCAGAGCTTACCCATCATGACCAACTGTTCCTGAAAATCTGAAACAAGAAGAAATTTCTGACAAGCTCAAAATGCAACCATTGCCACCATCTTCAAGAAAGGAGACGAAGTGGACTCTGGGAATGACAGAGGATTCTCCCTACTCTCCATTGCCAGGAAGATCATCACCTAAATCCTTGCTAGATGCTTTCTCCCAATCTCAGAGGAAATCCTTCCTAATAGTTAGAGTGGCTTCTGACCAAACCATGCAACTATGGACACATTTTTCACTGCTCAGCAACTCCAAGAAAAATAACAGGAACAACACCAACCATTTTATGTGGCCTTCACTGACCCGAACAAGGCTTTTGATTCAGTAACTCAAGAGTGCTACGGAATATCACAACAAAAACCAGCTGTCTAGTGAAATTCACCAACATCCTCCATGACAATGTTGGCAACAGTCCCCACCAATGGTTATATGACAGAATCCTTTGAGATCAGGCCGGGGGCTAGCAGGGATATCGCACTTCCCCTTCCCTTTTCTCCATCTTCATTGCCACTATTCTTCACCTTGTCAAAAACAAACTTCCTGATGGTATGGACATTGTCTAGACAATGGATGGAAAACTTTTCAACCTCAGCTGGCTGAAACTCAAGAATAAACCAACACAAACCCCACTTGTGAATCTTCAGAATACGGATGACAATATTATCTCTGGTCTCTTGCAACAGAATCTTCAAGCCTCAATTAGTGCCTTCGTGGAAGCATACCACAGTACTGGTGTCAGCTTCAATCTTTTACCAACCTACTCAAGGTCAAATTCCCATCCATCCCTCCATTAAGATCAATCGAAAAATTCTCCCAAACTTGTAATATTTTCCCTACCTGGGAAGTTACCCCTCATCTCAGGCTGACTGATGCAGAGATTCAATGTTGTATCCAATCTGCAAGCGCCACCTTTGGATAGCCAAGAATATGTCCTCAATGACTGTAACATCCGTGCCGATCTCCGTGTATAAGGCAGACATCTTCTGACTCTGGGGTGGCATGGTGACTCAGTGGTTAGCACTGCTGCCTCACAGTGCCAGGGCCCAGGTTCGATTCCAGCTTTGGGTGAACATCTGTGTGGAGTTAGCATGTTCTCCCCATTTTTGCTTGGATTTCTTTTGGGTACTCCGTTTTCGTCCCGCAGTCCAAAAGTATGCAGGTTAGATGGATTGGCCGCGCTAAATGTGGGGTTATGTGGATAGGGTGGGGTGGATCTGGTTGGGATGCTCTTCAAAGGGTTGGTCCAGACTTAATGGGCCAAATGGCCTCTTTCCACACTGTGGGGATTCTGTGATTCTTCTATAAAGCTCTGAAACTTGGACCACATGTAGATGCCATCAAGATCTTTGAGAATTACCATCAACATTGTTTGAGATGGATTCTCCACATCAGCTGGAAGGATAGGAAAATTAACATCAGCAGCCTTGAAGCAACTAACAGTACCAGCATTGGAGCCACGATAATCGATAATCAACTTGTCTTGGTCGGCCACGTACTTAGGATGCCTGACTTCCAACTATCAAAGCAAATCTTCTTCGCCCAGCTCAAGGAAGGCACTTGAATGAGAGAAGGACAAAGGAAGCATTTCAAAGACACTTCTGTAGCTTCCCTCAAGAAATGCGACAGAGAATATCATTGCATGGAAGACTCTCATTCAGAAGAAACCAACTTAGAGAAAACTCATGCATGAGGGGACATAATTCTTCAAGAACACCAGGTGGCAAGAGGAAGTATAGAAAAGGAACCAGAGAAAGGAATGCCAACGATCTCAAGGCCAAGGACCAATTTCACCTCCAATCAGGCTCATCAGCCATGGAAACACACACAAAACCACAAAAACAGAATTTCCTAGGTAGACAGTCATACTTGTTAGCAAGTGACTGCCGGTGACCATCACCAAAGTGGAAAACATCAGACTTGCCGTATATTCACAACCCCGCACAGCTCGTTTCTACCTCCTGCCAAAAATCCACAAACAGGACTGTCCAGGCAGACCCATTGTTTCAGCCTGCTCCTGCCCCACAGAACTCAGCTTTTCCTATCTGGACTCAGTCTTCTCCCCCCTGGACCAATCCCTACCCACATACATCCATGATTCATCTGACGCCTTACGTCGGTTTCAAAACTTCCAGTTTGCCAGCTCCAGCCATCTCCTCTTTACCATGGATGTGCAATCCCTTTACACATCCATTCCCCACCAGGAGGGCCTTAGGGCTCTCCGCTTCTTCCTGGAGCAAAGACCTGAACCATCCCCACCCACCAGCACCCTCCTCCGCTTGGCCGAGCTTGTCCTCACCCTCAACAACTTCTCTTTCAACTCCTCTCATTTTCTTCAGGTAAGAGGGGTTGCCATGGGTACCCGCATGGGCCCTAGTTATGCTTGTCTCTTCATGAGGTGTGTGGAACATTCCTTGTTCCAGTCCTATTCCGGCCCCCACCCACAACTCTTTCTCCGATACATTGATGATAGGGGTGCTGCTTCCCTCTCTCGTCTGGAATTGGAAAACTTCATCAATTTCGCCTCCAATTTCCACCCTGCCCTCACTTTCACCTGGTCTATCTCTGACTCCTCCCTTCCCTTCCTCGACATTTCTGTTTCCACTTCTGGGGATAGACTGGCCACTAATATCCACTGTAAACCCACTGACTCCCACACATACCTGGACTATACATCCTCACACCCCACTTCCTGTCAAGACTCCATCCCATTCTCTCAGTTCCTCCGTCTCCGTCGCATATGTTCAGGTGAGGCCAACTTCGATAAGGGAGCCTCCGAAATGTCCACCTTCTTCCTCAACCGACGTTTCCCCAGCTCCGTTGTCGAAAGGGCCCTCAACCAGGTCCGACCCATCTCCTGCACTTCTGCCCTCACCCCTTCTCTTTCCTCCCGCAACAGCTTATCCTTACCTACCATCCCACCAGCATCCACATCCAGAAGATCATCAGACCCCATTTCCGCCACCTCCAGCAAGATGCCACCACCAGACACATATTCCCCTCCCTTCCCTTGTCCGCCTTCTGCAGGGACCGTTCCGTCCAGGACACCCTGGTCCACACTTCCTTCACCCACAACACCTCCCCACAGCCCTAGGGCACCTACCCCTGTAACCGGCGAAGGTGCAACACCTGCCCATTTACCTCCTCCCTCCCCAGTATCCAAGGGCTCAAACATACCTTCCAGGTGAAGCGACACTTCACCTGCACTTCCCAGAATCTAGTCTACTGTATTTGCTGCTCACAATGTGATCTCCTCTACATTGGGGAAACGAAGCGTAGAATTGGCGACCGCTTCACAGAACATCTACGTTCTGCTCGCAAGAGACCCTGAACTACCCGTTGCCTGCCACTTCAATGCACCACCTTGCTCCCTGGCCAACAACTCCGTCTCTGGCTTGCTACAGTGTTCCAGTGAAGCCCAACGCAAGCTAGAGGAACAATACCTCATTTTCCGCCTGGGGACTCTACAGCCCTCCGGACTCAATATTGACTTCAATAATTTTATTTAGGGCCTAAACTCTCCCCTGTCCCAGCCCCCTGCCCCACACACCAGGCCCTGATACCACATAGCCTGCCATTACACACCCCTTGTTGTTAGTCACTAGTCCCCATTAACAACTATTCACCCTCCCAGCCTGATTGTTAGCAACTCCTTTGTCTGTCCAACTGTCTTTCTCTCTCTTCGGGCTCTATCCTATCATTTACTCCCTACCTTACCCCCCTCCCTATTTTCTGCAAATAAACTGACGTTTTCCCAGCCACCATCAGTGCTGAGGAAGGGTCACCGGATCCGAAACGTTAACTCTGTTTTCTCCTTCACAGATGCTGCCAGACCTGCTGAGTTTTTCCAGCAACTTTGTTTTTGTTCCTGATTTACAGCATCCGCAGTTCTTTTGGTTTTTATCTTATACTCCACCTGTCATGATTTTGCCCTCTCACTCTGCTTGTCAAAATCCCTTTGAATTCTCTTTTAACACCCTCCTTACAACTCACATTCCCACCAAATTTTGTATTATCTGTCAACTTGGAAATATTACAATTAGCCCTCACATCTAAATCATTTACATGACTTCTTGCAATGTCCCACTGGTCACAGCCTACCAACCTGATAAAGACCCATTTATTCCTATTTTCTGCTTTCTGTTATCCAATCCTCAAACCATCCCAGCATATCGACCCCAATCTCAAATGCTTTAATTTGGTTTAATAACCTCCTATGTTGAACTTTACCAAAAGCATTCTTAAAATCCAAATACACCACAGCCATTAATTTCCCCGTATTGATTCTGCCAGTAAGATCCTCAAAACACTCAGATTGTGAAACATGATTTTTCTTTCGTAATTCCACATTGGACGCAGTCACTCTAGCATTATTTTCTAAATATCCAGTAATGATATTCTTAATAATATTCTATTAATTTCCCTGCTACTGACTTTAGGCTAATAGATCTGCAGTTCCCAGTTTTCTCTCACCCTCTTTCTTAATCAGTGGTTACATCTGCAACCTAGAAATCTGCAGATACTATTTCAGAACTAATAGAATTTTGAAAGATCACCAATGCATCCACTATCTCTGTAGTCATCTTTCAATATTCTAGGGTAAAGGTTATCAGGTCCCAGGATTTGACAACATAGTCCATTAATTTCTCCAACACTACTTTTTGACTAATACGCATTTATTTCAGTTCCACATTCATGAGACCCTTAGATCTTTATTATTTGAGGAGAGACATCTTGCGTCTTTCACTGTGAAGAACAACACACAACACGAACAGCTTTTCTGCCATTTATCTATTGTCTATTATAAATTTGGAGACAATTTGAGGCATGGGAGTGGCCCAAGAGAGATACTGCTGGATATCATCAGTAGACTTGGAACCTGACATGCTTTTAAGCAACGTCACAAAGGAGTATCAGGTAGAGGAAAGATAGGATAGGGCCAAGGATAGATCTTTTGGGGATCTAGAGGTAACAATGAAGGAATGGGAAAAGAAACCACTGAAGGTGGCATTCTCTGCCAAACTTGCTAGGTTTCTCCAGCATTCCCTGTGTTTATTTTGGGTAAGAATATATTATATTGAGGAGTACATTTCGGCCAAACTATAATAATTGGCACTGGAGGAGGACGCTGTGGTCATCCCTAATTCAGCTTTCTCAATAGATTGAAAAGGACAAAGTGCAATATTTTACCATAGTCACATTTGTGTAGGATGCTACATGTGTGAGTTTTTAAAAGGGCCTGTTTGAGCACTGTAGCAGAGACAGAAAGCCAACTGAAGAATTCAAAAATGGCTCCTGGAAAGGTAGGCATGAATTTAGGAGATGTAAGCATATTTAAGAAATTGAGAGATAGAAGGGTAGAGATGGGATGGTGTTTTCAAGGATAGAGTCACAGTAAAGGGGAGTTTTGAAGAGGGGATGATGACAACAGACCCACCAGTTTACCAACAACAAAAACAAAGTTGCTGGAAAAGCTCAGCAGGTCTGGCAGCATCTGTGAAGGAGAAAACAGAGTTAACATTTCGGGTCCGGTGACCCTTCCCCAGAATTGTTCCTCATTTACAGCATCTGCAGTTCTTTTGGTTTCCACCAGTTTACCAAGTTAGCTAAATTGTCCCTTACGTGGCCGACTATGCAAAGTTTACTGAAGTAACGTTCCATGACTTTGAAGCATCCAATATGAAGCTATGACTGTGTTCATAAGTTTGAGTTATAGGAAAACTAGCCTGTCTTGTTATAAGTTATTAATCATAAAGTACCAGATGTAAAAACTATTTCTGGAAAAGGAGTCATGTGTCTTGATTACCAACTAAATGTGTCAGCCCAGGGCTGGACTTCATATCCTGCCTTTCCCAGTTAATAGTAAGGAAAGTCAATATGTTACACAAGAATAACTGCCTAAACGCTGAATGCAAATGATTGACAATATAAACATTACCTTCTTCAGTAGTTAAGCTTTGTAATTGTACTTCACCAGTTATCTCTATTCCATTTTGGTTGAAGTTGTTTTCGGTCACTGTTACAGAGTCATCTATTTTCATTCGTTTCGATGATGGGGATAAGGTTCCAAAGTCTCTCTAAAGAACAACATAAATGCCAGTTCAAAGGAAATAAATTTCATTAATTACAAGTTTTTCACAATATAGTTCTCGTGTTTGAAGTAATAATAATTGTCTGTTCATGCTGCCAATTAATGTCTAAACAGATATGGGGGAGGCAATGGGCTAGTGGTATTGTCGCTGGACTGTCAATCCAGAGCCCCAGATAATGTTCTAGGGACCCAGGTTTGAATCCCACCATGGCAGATGGTGGAATCTGAATTCAATAAATATCTGGAATTAAAGGTCTAATGATGACTGAATCCATTGTCGATAGTTGGAAAAACCCATCTGATTCACTAATGTCCTTTAGGGAAGGAAACTGCCATCTTCACCTGATCTGGCCTACATGTGACTCCAGACCCGCAGCAATGTGGTTGACTCCTAACTGCCCTCTGGGCAATTCGGGATGGGCAATAAATGCTGCTTAGCCAGTGACGCCCTCGCCCCATGAATGAATTAAAAAAAAGACAAGCTTAAACGTGGATGCTAGTCTTGTATTATGAAGAACGTTATGAAACTGAAGAGAGGAATGTGAAAGATTTTGCAAGACTAGAAATGGGCTAGAAAAGAAACCTGCCTTTTCTTTGCTCTAACTAATACATAAATAAAGAAACACCAACTGTTGGCAAAGATGGTTTAACTTGCATGAGATCAATGAATATTTATCTGTTTCTTTATATTGGCATTAAGTAAATCAGTATTTTCCTCATATTCAAATGTAATGATTCACAGGAAAGCATGAACAAATAGGTACCATTTAGCCTAGAAAATCAGTCATCTTGCATAGTTGCAATTGCCCCATACAATGAAATTAGTTCACTAAATCTCTCAAGAGAGATGATGAACTACAACAGCTTGCATTTACGCCTGTCTTTCCAAAGGAGTACAGAAAGTAGATGTCAAGTCATAGTAAGATACCAAATATCTATAACAACATTCAAAACTTTGGTTGGAGTCTATCCCTAAAATTATTTAATAAATCCATAGGATCAACTGAATAAGAATGCTTGCGTGACTCAATCCTGATTAGTGCAATTTCACAGGCAATCCAGCAGCAAAAGTACAATCATAAATGTGACACATTCCAAAATTATGCTTATTCCTCATCATTTCTTGTGGTTTCTTATTGATCTTAGCCAGCTTTTCAAAAAAGTGAAAAGCAGAGCCTTAATTTCTGACTGTCTACTCCACAATTTGACTGAACAAAGCTAATGTAATTCTCCTCTGAGCTGAGGCGATTTTATTTTGTATAATCTTATTTAACTTTGAACAAATAATATATTTTCTAAGGGGTCTATAATTACTATGGCCTCTCTCTTCCTTTCTAACTAATTAAAGAAATTGTTACTGTCAATGTTTATGCTACTTCCTAGTTTTCTTTTCATTCTTTCAGAGGACGTGGCATCGCTGGCTGGGTCAGCATTTATTGCCTAGAGGGCCGTTAACAGTCAACCACAATGCTGTGGATATGGATTCACATGTAGACCAGGTAAGGACTTCGCTAAAAGGACCATATGGTTTTTTTCTGATAGTTGACAAAGGTCATCATTAGAATCTTAATTCCTGTTTTCTTCCAACATATCAAATTCAAATGCCACCATCTGGAATGGCACGGCATGATTCAAACCTGGGACCCCAGAACATACCTGGTTCTCTGGATTAATAGCCTAGCAATAATACCACTCAGCCATCACACCCCTCTAGTTATTTTCATCTTTTCTTCTTGGGTCATCTTTTGTTGGCTTATAAAACTTATCCAATCCTTTGGCTTACTACTAACCATTGCCATATTGTGTGGTTTTTCTTTTCATCTGATGTTATCGTTAACATCCTTGGTTAATTCCCTTCCTAGAATCTTTCCTCCTAACTGGGATATATCTTTGCTGTGAGTCAAGAAGCATTTCATTAAATGTCTACCATTGCTCATCAACCAGCTTTCATGTTAAACTCACTTCCCAGCCTACTCCAACTAAATCTGCCCTCATTCCTTTGTAACACATTTGAACGGAGTACCACCATTCGACCAAGTCTCATTTTCAAATGTAATGATAAATTCTACCATGTTATGATCAGTTTTATAGGGGATCTTTCAGTCTGAAATCATTTGTCAAATTTTCCTCATTATACATTATTAGATCCAAAACAGTCTGTTCACTGGCCACAGACACCACTATTCTAGGAAACTGTATTGAATACTTCCTAAAAATTCTTCCTCGTAGATACTTCTGCCAATTTGATTTGACTAAGCTACAAGAAGTTAATGTCATCCATAATAAATATTAGGGCCTTTTTAACATGCCCTCATTATTTCACAGACTCAGACATTTGCAGCACAGAAAAAAAATGCCACTTGACTTGAGTCAACGCCAGTCACCACACTTCTGTACTGCAGTGACTGCAATGGGAGAGTAATTCCCTTGGCAATGTCTCTGCTGCATTCTTCAGGTTCAGTGGGACTGTTAGTGTCCTTCTAAAGCCAGCACAAAGAAATATTCAAAATATGCAATTTATAAAACACCTGCAAAATCAATTTTGATGAACTGAAAAGATAGGTCTAGTTTTCTCAACTCTCATTTGACCAATATTTCAGAGGAGGACAAAGAAAATGTTCCAAATGACACTCTAACTTTCCTTGGAGTATGGCAGCATTAACATTAAATCACTGGAAGAAGCTTGCAACCAATTGTCCAAAATGATGACTTGCCTATCAAGTTGCATCACACTAAGTCAAAACATGTCAAATTAAGCAGAGAAGCAAAGAAAGGAAGCAAATCCTGAAATGCGTACCCCACTATCTGATGGAATGTCCTGCCCCACATGCCCAAAGTTGTGACAGTTGAGAGTCAACCTGTTCAGTTCCAAGGTAATCCATGCAAAAAAAAAAGTGTCTGAATAGATGTCAATTTGAGATTCCACTGATGAGGGAAAAGAATAGATAACTAGACTATTATTGAACTTGAGAGAAACTGCAGAATGCCAGCGTACAGAGGAATTTGGGTGTCCTCATAGATGTATCATAAAAAATAAGCATGCAGGTACAGTAAGCAATTAGAAAGGCAAACTGAATGTTGACTTTAACAGCAAAGGAGTACAGCAAAAATATAAGGAATTGCTATTATTGCACAGGGCATTGACCACGCCTAAAGCTTGGCTTTCCTTATTTAAGCAGAGACATACTTGCACGGGAGGCAATTCAGAGATGGCTTAATAATGCAGCAAGTGTTTGACAACAAAGAAAAGCACAGTTCTAACAGAGCAGTTATCCCTACACTCCTGTACAGCAGTGCTGCATTGTGCATTTGTGACATAAACAATTGGCAAATAAATCCCATCAACAATGCCTCTGCCACATTCTTCAAATTCAGTGGGGAAACTCCTCAAAATGACCAAGTTATCTTACAAAGGTAGGTTGCGCAGTTTGGACCAAACCTCACTGGAGTTGAGACGTTTCATAAGTGATCTTATTGAAGCATGAATATTCTAAGACAGCTTGACAGGCAAATGCAATAAAAAAAAGGTTTTCCCTGTGGAGGAATCTAGAACTAAGGAACACTGTCACAATAAGGACTTTCATTTTTTAGGGAGATGGGAGGAACTTTGCTCACTAATGTTTGGAATTCTCTAGCCAATGGCAGAGTGGAAGCTGGTTCATTGAATATATTCAAAGCTGTTCTAGACATGATTTTTAGTCGACAATGAAACAAAGGATAATGAGTATAAGGCAGGAATGGGAAATTGAGGCCATGATATTATTGAATGGTGCAGCAAGATTCATGGGTAAATGTCCTACACCTGCTCCTAGTTATGTTCATAAGAATACCTCCATCCTCAGTGATGGCAAAGCCTCAAGTGCAGTTTCAGAGGCACTAATGAAGCTTTTCCAACTATTTTCAGCCAGTCATGACAAATGGATGATCCACCTCAATATCTTCCAAAGATTTGCAATTACATACGCCAGTCTCCAGCTAATTTGATTCATTCCATATGATATTAAGAAATAGTCAAGGTACATGGAATACAACAATTGTTACAGAACCTGACAAAATTCATAGTTTAAAACAAAAGCACAGAAAACAGTGGGATGATAGGTGGAGATGGCGCCAGAGAGAGAGAACAGACAAAAGCAATAAGTGAACTTCAGCCATGGGAGAATCAATAGCTGCTAACGGAGTCCATTAGTAGCTGACAATGGGTTATTTATGACAAGGCCTGGTTTGTGGGGTGAGGTAAAGGCATGGAAGAAGGTGCTCAGGCCCTAAAATTACTGAACTTGATATTGAGTAGTTAAGGCTGCAGGGTCCCCAAGTGGAAAATGTGATGCTGTTCTTCCAGCTTGTGTTGAACTTCACTGGAGCATTGCAGCAAGCCCATGACAGAGATGTTGGCCAGGGAACAAAGTGGTGTTTTGAAGTGGCAGGCAAGAGAAAGCTCTGGGTCATTTTTGCTGACAGAATGGAGGTGTTCTGCAAAACAGTCACCCAGTATGTTTTTTGTCACCCCAGTGTAGAGAAAACCACATTATGAGCAGCTACTAGCCTTCCTGAATATCTGTTGCACCTGTGTCCTGGCATTCAACGTTTCATACACAAGTATCCCCAAGTCCCTTTGAGTTACAGTTTTCTGCAGTTTCTCACCATTTAAATAATATTCTGTTCTCCCTTCTCAAATGAAACTTTGCATTTTTGCACATTATACTCCATTTGCCAACATTTTGCCCACTTACTTAGCCTATCAATATCTCTCTATAATCTGTTTGTATCCCTCTCACAACCTGCCTTTCCACTTATTGTGCCATCTGCAAATTTGGTTACAGTACATTCATTTTCTCCCATGGTCATTAATACGTATTGTAAACAGTTACAGTCCCAGCACTGATCCTTGTGGAACCCCAGCGGTCACAGGTCACCAACCCAAAAAAAAACCCTTCTCCCCACTCACTGTTTCCCCACATAAGCCAATTTTCTATCCATGCCAATATATTACCTCTAACACCATGAGCTCTTATGACAAATTATGAGGTACTTTATCAAATGCCTTCTAGAAGTCCAAATACAAAACATTTGCTGGTTCCTCTCTAACCATTCTGGTTGAGACTTCCTCGAAAAACTCTAATAAATTAGTCAGAAATGATTCCCCTTTCATGAAATCTCATTGACTCTGCTTGATTAGATTATGATTTTACAAATGTTCTGCTACAACTTTCTAATAATTGATTCCAATACTTTTCCAACAATAGATGGCAAACTAATCGACCTATAGTTACCCACTTTTTTCCACTGTCCCTTTCTGGTGTCACACTAGCAGTTTTCCAATGCTCTGGTACTTCTCCAGAATGCAATGATTTTTGGAACATTACAATCAACGAATCCACTGGTCAAACAGAACAGTGAGGCTGAACAATCTAGTTGGTGAACACTGGCAATATCTTTTTAACAAAATAGCAATGTAAAACATGCTTAATTTAAAGAGGGGATTATAAATCCTTTACAATTGGTTTGGAATATTCTGCTCACTAAACTTTTCATCTTCAGTTATTGTTTCATTGAACATTAGTTCTGTTTTTTCAATCTCAAATCTCAGTGTATTTAGGCAAACATTAATATTTATTGAGAAGAGTAAGCAGCAAAACAATTAAAGCCAACATGCATATCATTGTCTGGCATTAAATATTTCATTTTCAAATACCTCCATACTATGCTTTTCTCCAGATGAATTTAGATGATTCTGGTCATCCACCGTGACTAATCTGTAGGTTAGGGACACGCTTGCATCTTGCTGGTTTTCTTTGTTTGTATACTCAGTTATTCCTAATGACTCAGCAACCTGGAACATTTATGGGAGAGAAACATCAATAAGCTTTAATTCTGTTCAAGTCTTAAAACAAATGTAATGTCCTCATTATTTGAACACTACTCGTGAACTCTAACATTTTGAAGTTGTGGTAAAGAGAAGATTTTTTGAATAGAAAGTCTTAAAATCACATGGAATGTCTTTGGCCATGTTTTGCCTATGGAAAGTAACTTGTTACTGGAACTCAATATATCTAGAATTCCAAACAATAAAGGAGATCAACAATATAACAAAAATATATGTAAACAATTAAATTATTATCATGATGGTTTAAGTGAAGAGAGGAACGTGACAAATTTACACTTCATCTATCTTGGACAATACATTTTAATCTTGATGGTGAAGTAATCAATGAGATCTAAATTGCTCACGCAGACTTGCACCTGTCAGGGATTTGTGAACAAAACAGAAAATGTTCGAAATACTTCAAGTCTTGGAGGTCTTATGCAGAAAGAAAACAGCTACTGACTTCAAATGTTAGATCTTTTCTCCATAGATGCTGCAAAATGTTGGCTGTTTCCAACCGCATCTGTTTAATTTTCAAATTTCTAGCATTCACAGTACTTTGTTCGCATATCCTTGCTGAATCTTTAGTTGATCAATGATGATTAAGAAACTAATGCTAAAAGAATACAAATAAGGTCTACACCCACGTTGAAATACCAGGATTTGTACCTACAAAAAATAAGAACTTGGATGTATAAAAGGACAAAGAGGGATAAAAGGAATTCATTCAGGACGTAGTGGTGAAAGTGAAGATTATTTAGATATAAAGTTTTATGCTATCCAATGGGAACATAAAAGAAAACAATGAAGCGATTGGTTATTTGATTTTGCAACAGTGGGGTGGGGGAAGGACTCATGGGAAAAAAGCAAGGGAGATGGATTAAATTAGACAGCCTATGTGGCAAAAATCACCAACATGGACTTGCTGGGCCAAATACAATATTTTAGCACTGAAATAGGCCACGATTCTACCTAGGAATATCTCAAATGGACACTTTTTTCTCTATTCCCAGCTAGAATAAACATATACTCAAACAGCTATCTTCATTCCTTTTTTTCCTCTTAGCCTCTTCACTGCATAACTTCAAAGCCTGACTTTTCAACCTCATCTCAACTCATGCTCCCTCTTGCACTATCCTTTTTACCTCTTTCTATTCATGACCATCCCTCTGATATTATTGCTCCCATCATTTCAACATTTTGGATCACTTTCTTGTATGATTCTCTCTTTCCACACCCGAATCCTACCACCTTCTGTTTCCACCAGAGGTGGGAAACAATTCCCCAATATACTTACACCTGCACTTTCAAAACCCCAACAGTCTAGTCTTTATCATTTTGCTCACCATAACGTTACAACAGCTACCGATTTTCTCAACAGCACTCTCACCTCCAGCTTTGAAGCCCTAATCTCTAATAAAAGCATTAGTCTCTATTAACTGAACATTAAAATAATGTAAGGTTTCAATAATCCAACCAGGCCATAAGGCTGCACTCTCATTAGACAGAGACAACCGATGATGGTTTAATAGGAGGGCTCACTACACCTCAGCTGAGGGGAAGAGTTGAGATGCAAAGTCCTTCATGGTCACTTCAGCTGGTGCACAAATGGATACTGTTAGCATCCCCGCGCATAGCAAGCCAGCTGTCCAGCTAAGAGACTCCAAATGACCACTACCCCAGTATAGTCAACAACTTGGCTCCCTTATTACAATAGATGCAGACTTAACAGACGAAGCAGGCAACTGGTTTAGTCATTCATTATCAGATCCAGCTGGATCACACACAAGCACTTAGCAAGTCCTGCTCTCATCTATTAGAGGTAATAATGATTCAAGGCAAAGATAATTCCCAGCTTCTTTTCTCTGCTACAAACTGTTACCTTAAGAACTTCTCCTGTCTCTTCCACCTTTAGCACAAACAACAAGAGCAAAAAAGCTCATAAGCTCCTTTGTCACCGAAGATCGAGGCCATCTAATTAATTATAACTGCTAACACTCTCTCTTCCACAAAACCATCCGATCCCTAAACTTGCATTTGCCCATGCACCCTACCTGCACCCATTTCGTCCATGAGACCCAAGTCCTGTGTTCTTGACCCTAATCCCACTGAACTGGAGGCCAGCTAACACCTGCTCCTGGTCGGCGTTTACATTCCTGCTGGAAATACTTAGCAGGTCTGACAATACCTGTGCAGATAGAAACTAACTTAATGTTTCAATGATCTTTCAGCAGAATGGAAAAGGAAGTTCAGGTGTGACCATTGACATTGAAAATGCTCAAAAAATGAGAACAACATTTTTAATTGCCCCATCAATACCTTCAGCCACTCAGGTCTTAAGCTAAGTTACGACTCCCTCCATAATCTCAAGACTCTCAACCGGTCTTTCCTTCTTTAAAATGCTTCTTCAAAGCTACCTCTATGACTAGACTTCTTGCAATCTGCCTTACTATTGCCTGATGTGGCATGATGTCCAATTTTGTTCTATAACCTTCTGTGAAGCACTTTTTGACTGTGTAATGCAGAGGACAAAGTTTTTTTTTATTCCTCATTTTATCGTTTCACAGAATGTAGGTATCGCTGGCTGGACTAGCATTTGTTGTCAATAACTAACTGCCCTTGAGAAGGTGTGATTAGCCACCTTTTTGAATCAATGCAGTCCATGTGGTGCAAGTACATCAACAGTGCTGTTCAGGATTCTAACTCAGTGACAGGAGCAGCGTGGTAGTGCAGTGATTAGCATTGCTGCCTCACAGCGCCAGGGAGCCGGGTTCGATTCCAGCCTCGGGCAATTGCCTGTGTGGAGTCTGCACATTTTCTCTCTGCATGTTTCCTCCGGGTGCTCCAGTTTCCTCCCACTGTCCAAACCTGCATCAAACCTGTGCAGGTTAGGTGAATTAACCATGGGAAATGCAGGGTTACAGGGTGGGATGCTGTTTGGACGGTCAGTGTGGACGTGATGGGCTGAGTGGCTTGCCTCCACACTGTAGAGATTCTATGACAGTGAAAGAACAGCAATAGAGTTCCAAGTCAGGATTGTACGTGGCTTATAGGGGAACTTGAAGGTGATGATATTTCCATGGATCTGCAGCCCTTATTGTTTCCACAGGAATGGAAGGTGATGTCAGGGGAGCCTTGGTGCTGACGTGACCACCTCTACCAATCACTGAGGTTTTGGCACAAGTGCTCAAAACATTTCTCCCCACTCCTCACCCAGAGGGGTCCTCTAGAGAATTTCTCAAGGACTAGTTTTTTTTTAAATATTTCTGAGGGCTACTTCATAAATCTCACCAGCTGTCACTAAATGTTGCCATGACATAAAAGATGTACAACAGGTAATATTGCATCTTTTAGGGTTTTCTTCTTTCGACAGGCGTGACAGTATAATCACAAACATTGTATACACAGAGGCCCGAACAGAGACCCTTGCGGAACACCACTACTCACATCCATTCTAAGAGAACCTGCCCATTATTCCTACATCTCTTGTCGGAGCCAATTTCCTAACTGGGTCAATAAATTTAACTTCAATTCCATGAGCTTCAACTTTAGCTAACTGTCTCTTAGCAGGAACTTTATCAGAAATTTTTTAGAAGTTCGTATAAACAACATCCACAGACATTCTTCTGGCTATTATTTTAGACACTTCAAAAACAAAAATTCCTCTCTGCTTTGCTAACCTTTTTTTCAGGGTGCTCAGTCACTGTACTCTTTTAAACTGCTCACTCACTTTATTCTTAATTACAGACTCTCACAATTTCCTGTACTGAGATGTAAAAACCAACATGTTTAATGGGATTTCAGCAGTTTAGAACTTACTTACTTCCCAGTGGTTGCTGTCTTAATATTTTAAAACTGGAGAATATCTTACATGTATCCTTTCAAGTTTCTAAATGGTTAATCAACTTCACTATAAAATGTTATCTTACTGATCAAATACTACACTGCATTTTATTTAATTACCATTCAATTTTATCAACATTTAACACTTCCATCCCATTGCATTAAATGTGAATTAACAAAATTTTAGAACAAAATGTTATCCCTGAAATTATAATCAACAAATTATGCCAACATTTTGCTCCCAAAGAAAATTTTCTTAGCACAAACTGGCCTATATACCAAATAAAAACCGAAAAAACTACACATGAGGAAAGGCTGAGGGTTTTGAGGCTGTTTTCGTTAGAGAGAAGAAGGTTAAGAGGTGACTTGATAGAGACATACAAGATGATCAGAGGATTAGATAGGGTGGACAGTGGGAGCCTTTTTCCTCGGATGGTGATGGCTAGCACGAGGGGACATAGCTTTAAATTGAGGGGTGATAGATATAGGACAGATGTCAGAGGTAGGTTCTTTACTCAGAGAGTAGTAAGGGCGTGGAATGCCCTGCCTGCAAAAATAGTAGACTCGCCCACTTTAAGGGCATTTAAATGGTCATTGGATAAACATATGGATGATAATGGAATAGTTTAGGTTAGATGGGCTTCAGATTGGTTTCACAGGTCGGCGCAACATCGAGGGCCGAAGGGCCTGTACTGCGCTGTAATGTTCTATGTTCTATGTTCTATGCTGTCCTGCTGAGCTTTTCCAGCAAGTGTTTCTGGCCTTTACACTAACACTGAAATCTCTAGTGTCATTGTTTATCATTCCTACCAGTCATCAAAAACATGTTTTAAAGTATCTGGAAAGCAATTGATCTTTGTAGTACATTTTCTTTAACATTGGGGTTTGAAGTCTTCTCCAAAACCTGGCTGACACGGACTGTGCCGCCATTTTGCAGCTCCACCACAGCCCTAAACTGCTGCCCACATCGGATCTCAGCTTCAGGCCAACATGGCTGTTTCTGCAGGTGAGGGTTACTTGGACCACCAGATCCCAGTTACCTCTCTCAGCCATACAGACAAGGAATCAAAGGGCACCCCAAACTCCATCTCCACCTTGGAGCAGACAGGGATGCCAGCCAAGGTGGAGGTGAGTAACCCAGGTTGGCCAGCTCTCTATTTGTGAGCAAGGATCGCTCCAAACACAGTTATTATATGCTTGCCAAAGTAATTAATTTGTGTTCTGTCCAAACCATGGCTTTAGAATGAGTAAAATTACTTTGAAAGAGACAAAGGCTCCTTTCTCATTTAAACTGTTTTATTTTGATGCTGAAGTTCATAACATACACCACTTTGGCTTAGCACAAATTTCTCTAAGGCTTACTTGCCTTCATATCCAAACTATCTGAAACAGCACAAGTCAGGTTCCACGAACATAGGTGCATGTAAACAATGGATCAGCACTAATACCTGGCAAAGTTAAAATTGTCATCCATTAACAAGTACCAGTCTTGTCCAATGAATTGAGGACTTTACTTATTCAACGTTCATTTGAAATACTTTCATGCATAAAAAGCACAATTTCCCTTGTACCAATTACTCCATTAAGAAATAAATCTGTAATTTTAATGTCTGCTGGTATATAAACAAAAAGAAAAAGCATTCACCTGTGTACAAGAGATCTGCAAGGGCTGCTGAGGATTGGTCATCCGAATGGAACTACTTAAGTGCTCATCAGCCATTTTCTTCACATGTTTATGCAGCATCTCAAACTCTCTATACACATCTGAAAACTGTGGTCTGGCAGGCCGTCCTTTTTCCACCTAGGAATTCAGCACTAAACATGATAATCAATTATACTGCAGAGCAAAAACTCTTTCTTGTATGATCTGAATATCCAAAAATCCAGTTGTAAATTTTTTTTTAATACCACACAACAAAAAAGTACCTGTTATCGAACAGCACAGTAGCATTTCAAAACGATTACTCAATTGAGAATTTTGTCACGTGCGCAAGTTTCTCAACAGGCCAATGCTGATCCAAAAGCACTGTTTTTTCCCTGAATCCACACCATTTTAATTTCCAATAAAAAACATTGGGAGATATGCAAAAACCTTAAAAAAGCATTCCTTCATAAAGGGCTCCTAGGTACAAAGATCATTAAGCATATCATTCAGCTGCTGTAACTGTGGCAACAGCTAAATGTGAAACAACAAATGCAAGCTGTGTTCATGTACATGCCCCTAATCAAAAAAAGGAGTTCAAATAATAGGAAATGTATCTGGATAGGGAAAAGAACAGTTAATGTTCTGGGTTTAACCATTTGGTGCACATGAGTTGCCATTTTGCCTTTTCTTTTTTAAAAGGCAATAGTTGATCTTCTGTATTCCTAGCATTTGTTTCAAATCTAACTCCCAAAAGCTTGACAAAGTTTCAGTCAATCATTCAGAAGCCAGTAAAATCTGTGAACACAAACTTGTCACAATTTTAAAATGTTTCTGCTCAAGAAAGATTCCTTGTTGAGAGGTGGAAGAAACACCACAGAAACATGCAACAATGTAGTTTGCACTCTGAGGCACTATCAGGACGGGGTATATTCATCTACAAGGAAGAAAATTTAAGTAGTTCAAAAATTAGCTGTTACCAATCCATTTTGGCTAAGGACCTCTTTGCATCAAAAGTAAAAGCATTAAGGTAAAACAAATGTCTATATTTTAATTGAAATGGGAAGTTATGTACTAGAGACTGCATAATAACCCCTCTGCTTTTCACAGATTTTTTTTTTGACGGGGAGGGGAGGAGAGGAGAGGAGAGGAGAGGAAGGAGCTGGGGAGAAAAATCAGAACTCCTCACCTTAATTACTAGATCTATCATTTTAAGTACTGCACCACAGGACTGCAGCCTTTTCATGAAACCATCACTGTTGATGTATGCTAACAATTTTCTCATTGAGGATTCTGTTTCAGTCACCATTATTTGCAGTTTGCAATAGGGGCAGAAGGACTTGCAAAATGGTGGATGTGTGAATTAAGGGAGACTACATGCATATATATATATACATGCGCACTTGAGGCTTTTAAATAAAAAGTAGATCTTGTTTAGCGCCCTCCAGAGCCTGATATGTCTGCAATATCATGCAGCATTTGTCTACTTCTGAAAAGAAAGACACGCTTTCGAAGCTTTTCATCTTGCATCCATCAGAATCAAAAAATTACCAAACTTCTCAAGCCTCAAAAAGTGCTACAAAGCAACTATTTGTTTATTTCTAAGGGAGCCAGGAAGGAATGCATCTTTAAGCAAACAGGAAAACTTTAAGACATTCAAGTATAATAAATAGACTCAACAACTGGAAACTACATTATGATCTTTAAAAACAGCACAAGCTATTTGTTAGCTTCCCATGTTATGGTATTAATAAAATGGAATGAATAAAATAATGAATTACTGAATGGGCACAGATTTTGTGGTCAAAACAGCGGCAAAACAGTTAGTGCTCGATATCATTATTAAACTCAAAGTGAAAGTTCTCAGACAAGGCAATGGGCAAACCCAAAAGTACTATTTGTACTTCTACATTTTTCCATCAGATATACTGTTGAAATTTCTAAGTGCAATTCTTAAGTACTAAATAGATTAAAATTTCCACATTTATCTCCAATAGTTAGTCATACCGTATTTATATTTCAAAAAGATTTATCTAGTTGAATAAAGGGCAACTAGCATCTTAAATGATATGCTAACTTCATTGTTAAAGGTAACCACCTTCATTGGTACTGAGAGCCATTTATATATTTTTGGGAATGTCAAATTTCTTCCTAATAAGTATAACTTATTATCAATGTTTATCTTTATTTTAGCTTCAGTTTAATCTGTCAATTATATATTTCAATATCTGAATATTTAAAAGTTCATGATTTTTAAGTACTTCTAAATTCCTTGTTTGTTGTCTCAATATTTGAATGTGATTGGTCGATTACTTACTTCATGACATTACTTTTGCTACAGTTATCTTCTTGACCTGGCACCAGATTCAAATTGCTATCAGTAAAGCAGAAAGCCAGAGAGATCACTAATACTTCATCAGCAGCATTCTTTAAGGCCAGTAATAAACAGTCATGCTTTACCAACAACCGTAAAAATTTGGGCTAATAATTTTCTAAATAATATCAAATTATTTGGCCTGCTGTGAAACCATCATCATCATGTACTTCAACATAAAATAGCAATGGGAAGAAAATAGTTATAAATGTGTGCTTTGTGAACGCTTTTTTAGAAAAGATTTTGTCAGTTTTTCACAGCTATAGTTTTCCACACTAAAACTAATAGCTGCGAGAACTTCAAATGAATTATAAGTCATTAGGAAAGTGTACGAAATGTTTTGTATCAGTAATATGGGAAAAGCAAACTGTGCACTTCTTAGAATGGCAGACTACAACAAACAAGCCTATGAGAAATTCAACAGAGTTTATTTTGGAATTTAATAGCAAAAAGTATATTCTGGTCATTTTATTTTTGTGGATGAAATATGAGGAACTAGACTTGAATTTTCACAGCATAGTGTTACCTAATATTAAACTTCAAGAATAATGTGCCTTACCTTCATTAACAGAAATTCCCAGAGAGTAATGACTTTTGTAAGCCTAGGAAGAGCCAATTCCATCAGTTCCTCATCATCACACTGTTTGAGGAGCTAGTTAAAACATAAAAAAACTTTAATTATTGTGCTGCCAGAAGAATATGATATTTAGCATCTTACATTTATGAAGCCTTCGTTGAGCTCAAAGATTTTAATATCCTACTGCCACTTCAAGTAGCTGCTGCACACTGGCAAAGTAACTAGACTAGTAATCCAGAGTCCCTAATGTTCTGTGGTCATGGATTTTAATCCCATGATGACAGATAGCAAAATTTAAATTCAATAATTTTTAAAAGTATGGAATTAAAACATCAACCATTGTCATAAAAACCATCTAGTTCACTAATGTCCCTTAGGGAAGGAAGTCAGCTACCTTCACTGGTTAGTCAATGTGCAATGTGGTTGACTCCTAATTATGCTCTAAAATGGGCTAACACACAGCCCTAAAATGAGTTTTAAAAAGCTACTGCAGTTTGAGATTTCATAATTAGAAAGAAAACAGAAAATGCTCACTAAATCCAGAAGCATCTATGAAGAGAAAAACAGGGTTAACATATCAGGTCAATGACCTTTAATCGGATCTTTAATGACGTTGCTGCACCAAATATTAAAAACTTTCTTGACCCACAAAGCATTTTGGCATTATAAGCTGTAGAACAAAAATTTTGAAATTTCAATAGGTTAGCTCCATAGCACCAGAATGAAAAGACTATTTTAAAACAAAAGTTGGGTTTGGAGTTAAGAGGTAATTGGTTACTTTGATATGGAACAAACAGCATATTGATGAAATGCAACATCACAGACTTGCCAGCAAAGTGCTCATGGAGCAAACACAGCATGGATTTGAAATCGGCCAAGTTACTGTAACAGACTAGAGGTGAACTGTTGTTTTTTAGAGCTAGTGAAAAATTTAGTAGGTTCACTGCAAGCATAACTGTTTTCTTTAATATGTATTAGTAACTTAAACATGGATGTACAGGACAATTTAAACATTTATGGATGACAAAAACTTGGAAATATTATGAATTGTAAGGATAACGATAAACTTCAAAGAGGACATAGACCATTAGGAAGGATGGGCAAGTAAAATTTAAAAGAGAAGACCATAAGAAATAGAAAACTGGAGTAGGCTGTTTGGGTCCTTGAGCGTGACCCACCATTCAACAGAATCATGGCCAATCTGATATTCCTCTCATCCACTTTCCTGCCTTTTCGCCATAACCCTCAATGCCCCTACTGATCAAGAATCTATCTATCTATCTATCTATCTATCTCAGCCTTAAACATATGCAAGGACTGTGCCCCCACGGCTCTCTGCAGCAAGGAATTCCAAAAATTCACAATCCTTAGAAGACATTCTTCCTCACTTCAAGAGTCTTAAATTAGTACTCCTTTGTTCCAAAGCTATCGCCTTTGGTCCTAGACTCTCCCAGGCAAGGCATTAGGGCTAGGGGATTTATCCAGCTTTGGCCCCATTTGTTTGTCTAATGCTACTTATCTAGGATGGTGATGGTACCTAATTGCTCCCCCATATTCTTTTGTATTAATTGGATGTTTGAAGTATTTTCCATCTTAAAAAACGATGCAAAATATCTGTTTAATACTTTTGCCATTTTTTTCATTCCAAAACTATCTCCCCACATTCATTTTCTAGGGAGACTATGTTCATATTGACCTCTTTCTTCTTTTTTTATATAATTAAAGAAGCTCTTATCAGTTTTTTAAAATTCCTTGCTAGAATTGACCTCATTGAATTTATTTCAGCCTTTGGTGCTATCACTGACTTTTGCCTCCTTATATTCTTTTTCTTTCAACTTAATACTCTCCTTAACTTCCTTGGTTCATCCTTCTCAGTACCTTTCCTACTTACTGGAGAATGGTCTCTGGTTCACTATTCAAAATAACCTTCTGACCTCTCACAAAAAAGTCACTCTTCACAGAACTGAAAATACACATCTGCCACTACATTTTAAATCCAAATCCTAAATCATAATAACATATAATATCATAAAACAACATATCACACTTGTATAAAACATTGGCTCAGCCTCAAATAAAATATTGTGTCCTGTTCTGGTGATCGCATTTCAAGAAATACGTGAAAATATGAGAGATGGCTCAGAAAAAACTTGTAAGAATGGTTCGAGGGATGAGAAGCTTCAGCTCTGTGAATACATTGAACAAGTTGGGGCTATTACATTGGAGATGAGAAGATTAAGAGGAGATTTGATAGAGGCATTCAAAATTGAGAGGCTCTAAACTGGACAGAAAACCAAAGGACAATGATTTGAGGCTGTTGACATAAGAAATCATGGTGACACAAGATTTATATGCAACCAGTAGTTAGGATCTGGAATGCACTGCTTGAAAGCATGGTGAAGGCAAATTCAATCAAACCCTCAAAAGGAAAAGTGAATAATCCCCTAGATTAGGGGTTGTAGGGCTTTGGGAAGAACGTAGAACGCTCCTTTAAAGAGAGCGGTTGACGTTAATAGTAGATGCATTGAAGAGGAAGCTGGGTAACCAAGGATGTAAAGAAATCCAAATAGAGCTTAGACATCTGGCATGACCTGGTTAGAACAGCAGCCTGTTTCTGAGTTGTACGCTCTATGAAATTCCTTTTATAAATATGATTTGTCATTCTATATCATGGATCAATTGATGAGATGATACATGCTATTACAAATTAAAAGTGCTTAAACAGGATTTTTGTGATGCAGATGGCTAGCTCCACAAAATTTTACAGCAGCAAAGACAGTCACTGAAACTCAAACAAACCAAGTTCAATTAAAAAAGGTGTTTACTGTTCTGCAACAAATCTATATGCTTTAAAAATTGCATCTTTACCACATCAGGCCCAACTCCCTGTTACATCAAAATTGCACTTCCTTCAAGTGCCATGTTTTTCAAATTTCGTGGCCCTCTATAGCAGCCAACATCTTGGTGTTATTCTCAAGTCTTATGTCTGTCTGCTTCTTATTCCTGCTTACAACACGCTTTTTGGGCAAATGACATACTTCCTGTAACCGTATCATACTCTGGTAATAAACTTCTAATTATCACTTATGATGTGTAGTGATAAGTGGCCCAAATCCTGTAAAGTATCGCACCTATCTTCAGCGTGGTAAATGCAACATTATACGATCAAATGTTAGTGACAGACTACCCTAAGGGAAGACTGGAATCTCATCTTTGGAATTAATTAGGAAAATAACTGGAAGGGTTTATTATAAATACAGGGACCCTAAAAATGTGCAACATTTTAAAATGGAAAACGACAACAGAAACAAGAAGAAAGTGTAGACAATCACAACCTTGTAAAATAATTTTATAGTATTGGCATTAAAGGGTGAAGCAGTACTTGCAACATTCTGCAACACTGACTCATTTTTAAGTTTTACAGATTAAAACAAATAGATTGCATACTCATGATCATATCAATTGTGAACAAAAGGAGGGCGGTCTTGACAAAAAAAAATCGTCAGCAGCAAGGAGGAATGTAATTTATCTGCTGTATGTGCCCTCATAAATCCTCATCTGTGTTAACTGAAGAAAACCTGAAAATCAGATTTCTAACTTGGCTGATAGATTCCCCTTTTCTCTTCATCTTATGTCTCTCCATATACTCTCAAACGCCCCCTTGTCTCTTCATTTTTTGTCTCTCCATATGCTAACTCCTCTCTCCTTTCCAATCCACTCTCTGACCAATCACACTTTGCCCTACTGAGACACATACGAGTCCAGAGTCCAAGTTAAAACACAGAACAATTTGTTTCCTAGCTTCCCTCCACAACCCTGCACAGACACACACTCTCACTTCCTTCCAAAAAAAAAACACATCTGCCAATCACCATCATTTCTCTCTTTCCAGTTATACCACCTGAGAATGGTTTCACACCACCTTTCCTAATCTCAACACTCATCCCTTCTGAAATAACTGCACAGAGGCCAGAATCCTGTCACAAAGTCACCCTTTATTGTGCACAATAACTGGCTGACCAATATAACCAGGTGATACTTCTATTTCCCAGACTACGTTCATTTTAAGTGCATGCTGCAAGCTGGGTTTAGATATAGTTCCAGTTGAAGTATGCCTGTAGGTGTTACAATGATATTTGTGCATATATATCTGTGTGTGTGGACTTTGACAAAGATCAAAACTTTGCACAATAAGGAACGTAATTGCAATGTTAATCTAGTACATTTGCCTTAAAGAAATAATTCTAACGGTTGCTTGTACTTTTTAAATGTGTTTGTGATTAATAAAAAGTTAATGTTTATGTGGCATGTAACTAGTTGGCCAATAGTACTATCCTTCTTATATAAGGAAAGATTGGCTGTGTGGTATTAACAATAGTATAACCAGGCAATTAGAATCTCCTCAGTTTAGGCGACTGTCTCCAAGCTGATTGGCCCAGGTTAACAGCCCCAATAAATGACCTCATAGTCAATGAGGTCAACCTGGTTCCAATCACTACATCCCTCCCATCCAAGTCCAGGGATGTAAGCCTGGTTTTTGGGTTATAGCTTTTCCTGCAATGCCTTTGCCCCAAGTTCTGTTCCTCAAATTTGGACTCTGACGCGGGCCGTGTGTACCAGTAGCCCACCTTCTTGCATTCGGTGCGTCTCAGAAGAGTTTCCTCTTTTTCCTCTGGCAGTAATGGTATCAAGGTTGCATCCATCCTGAACTCTGAGGTTTGCTCAACACTAGGCGGAGGGGGAGCACCTACAGTTTCCAACAGGCCTTCTGGCTGTTCCGAGGGTCCAGGTATGTTCTGCTGCTGCCCTGCTTGCAAGATAACAGCTTTCAGGTGATCCACGTTTTTGTTCAGGACAGTATCACTAACCCAATCTTTGTAAGTGAAGGGACGTCACCTCGCACCAACCTCGGCTCACACCCATACAGGGCCATTTCAATGGTTCTGGTACCAAATTTCCATCCCCTGAATTAAACTGTCTCTCTCACTTACAGGCGTCACATGGCTGGCCCTGACATTCCTGCTGCCGTTTCACCCTCACACCAGGTCTAGAATATCAGGTTTAACCTGGTGTGGGTCTTCTCCACATCAGCAACCCTGCTAGAGCTATCCCTGTGATTGCATGAGGGGTGGTCCTGAAATCAAACAGGAACCAAATGGTTTTGTATCAATGGATGCTGCAGGCTGTTTCTTTAAACCTGCCTTCATTGCTTGGACCGCTCTTTCTGCTAGACCGTTGGACGATGGATGGTGTGATATATGTGCTGAATGCCATTTGACTGTAGGAAATATTCAAATTCCCTACTGATAAATGACGTCCCATTGTTCGTGATCAATATTTCCAGGAGTCAGTGTATCGCAAACGTTGCTCACAGTTTCTAAATCATCATCCCAGAGTTTGCCGAATGAACTTTAAGCAGGTCCAACCACTTTGAATGAGAGTCCACAATGACCAGAAGCATTCAGCCCGTGAAAGTTTCAGCTCAGTTGTCATGCAACCGAGTCTAGGGTTTTCCCAGCCATTCCCATGAATGTGGGAGTGCTGCTGGTGGGAATTTCTGTCCTTCTGGCACTCTGGGCACTGCCCCACCAATGCAGCTATGTCAGCATCCAACTCTGGCCACCAGACATAGCATCTTCGTCATGGAAACCCCTGGATGACCCTGGTGGAGTTCAGCCAATATCTGGCGGTAACTTTTATTCGGGACAGTCACCCTTGCTCCTCATAGTAACATGCCATCCTCTACAGTGATCTGGTCTCACCAGGTCCAGAAACGTTTCAGTCCTGGTTGCGATGGACTTTCTGTTTCCCAATTACCACCAGCTATTTTAAGTTTCGTTAGGACTGGATCTTTTTGTGTCCACAGTCGGAAATTGTCTGTGGTGAATGGAAGCGTCTCCAAGAAGTTCAAAACCAAAAACGGACTGTTCGAGGGGAGGCACAATCAGTGGAGTATCTGCCAGTGGGTGACAGCTCAAGGCATCTGCATTAGCCACTTGGCTTCCTGGACAGTGTTCTAACTTGTACTTGTATGCGCTAAGAATAAGGGCCCAATGCTGAATTCTACCGGAAGCTATGGGTAGCCTGGGCCTTCTTCAGTAGCCCTAGCAGGGGTTTGTGATCTGTTACTATGATAAATTCCCGACTGTAAAAGGTACTGGTGGAACTTCCTCATGTCAAATATGACCGCCAAACCTTCCTTCACTATCCGAGCATATTTGCATTTGGCGTCAGCCAAAATCTGGGAAGAATACACTAATGGCGTTCCTCTCCATTGGGCCACCGGTGGGCCAACATTACCCTGATACCATATATGGAGGCATTGTACGTCAGCACTACCTCTCGCTTCAGATCGTACATCCGTAGATGACGATAGCCGCTTTTCCACTTCCCTAAAAGTGACTTCTAGGCTACGCAACTATTTCCAAGGCTGATGCTTTTTCAATAGTGGGTGTGATAGTGCCAAGATGGAGGATAGGTTATATGTATGAATTTGCGGTAATAATTCTGTAACCGAAGAAAAGGCCTAAGCTCCAGTACAGACATGGGAACCAGGGCTCCTTTAATCATCCTCACTTTCTCTCCTAACAGGGGTTACCCATTTTTGTCGACACTGTAACCCAAGTAGGGAGCTTGGGGTGCCTGGAACACACATTTTCCAGATAAATGGCAACCTTGTAAAATGTTCTCCATGGTCTGCTTGGAAACGGCGCAGGCTGATGACACTCCGAATGGCTGTCTTGTATGTTGACATAAACCCTTATGGATATTATGGGTAGCGTACTTCTGGGGGTCCCCATCCAGTCGCAATTGCAGGCTGGCGTGGCTCATGTCCAGATTTGTAAAGGATAGCCCCCTCACCAGGTGAGCCTTGCAAAATCTCAGAATTGCTTCCTAGCCCCTTTGATAGTCCCAAGCCCTTCCTGAAGTACTCCTGGATATTTCACTAGGATTTCGCTGAAGCAGCCATTTTCTAATTGAAAAACATTGAGCCAATCCAGGTGAATCTTTCTCAACCTATTCTGCCCCAATTGACTTGGGCCTAAACCCTTTACTATGTAACCGCACTGACTGCTTCTCAAAAGGAGACTGGAAAGGAAGTGGTGTACCCTAAATTTGCAACGGTTCACCAGTGTATATTCTAGGCTGGCTGAGGTCTTGTGCAAACACAAGGCTTGGAATCCCAAGCGGATCTTGTTAAAGACCAATTCTGCAACCACAGATACCTCTGCGCCCGTATTGACCTCCACAGGAATAGGTGACCATTTAAACAAACATTAACTTGAATCAGTTCTGATTTGGATGTCACTAAGCAATTTAACTGTTTCAATCCACAGGTAGGGGGACTTTCCAAGGTGTGCACTCTCCTGGGTACCGGCATACGCGTTTTCTTATTCAAGTCAAGCCTTGTAGGATTCCTTTGCTATCTTGAGCCCCCTTACTGGCAACAGCTACAATGGTTTGCCAGCCCAGATCTTGAAGAAAGTTTTAGCCACTTGGCCAAGGCTTGGCTTTGTTGTGGGCTGACCTAGGGTCCCCCTGCTCAGGATATGCCCTCTGTGAGGCACTGCGATTGCCTACACAAATGCTGCTCCCCAAATTCAGTTGAACAGGTGAGGGAGTCCACTTCCATTGGGACGTCCTGTAGCTCCCATGCTCCAGTTGTTGCATTTTCCATTGTCAAAGCCAGTTGTACTGCCTGTTGGAAATCCAGTTGGGCTTCAGCTAGTAGGCACTTCTGCATGGTCACAACATTAATCCCACATACCAGACGGTGTGTCAATATTTCAGAGTTAACCTATAATCACACGCCTCTGCCAGTCATCTCAAACTTGTTAAAAATCCCGATACAGACTCCCCTAGTTCTCTAACAGCCTAATAAAACCGATAACGTCTCAGGATTAGAGGGGGTTTGGGGTTGTAATATTCCTTAACTAAAACAATCAACTCTTGGAAGGCTTTAGTGTCTGGTGCCCCTTATAACTGAGAATGCTACGGGTCCGCATGTAGTCAGAAGGATTACTCATGCTTTTCATCTGCTCCAATATCATTTGCCCTGAAAAAATATTGCATTCTTTTCACATACTGCGCCCAGTCTTTGACAGCAGGATCAAATGAGTCAAACTTCCCAAATAAAGGCATGATGCCAGAAATGCTTACCCCAACTCCAAGATGACTGTAATAAGTAAATATTCTTCAAGCATGTCCTGCTTTCTCTTGTCACCACTGAAATAACGGCACCGAGGCCGGTGTCCCATCACCAAGTCATCCTTTATTTATATATGCACAAGGTACTGGCTGTGCCCAGCCAGCTTGGAGTTAGTTGCCTGAACTGAGGAGATTCTATTCTCCTGGTTATGTTGGTCAGCCAGGGCTTCCCCGACTGGGGTTGTTAAGCTGGACCAGTGACCTCATAGTCAACAAGATTAACCTGGTCCCAAATCATTACACTTCCCTTTTTGTACCTACTCCTGAACCTTTGTTTCTCCCCTCTTCTGTATCCTTCCCTCTCTCTCCCCTTTCGTTAATCTGCCTATCTCTATCTACTGCTCTCTCAGCTCTCTTAACTCCACTCTTCTCTTCCTTTGCTTGTTCTCTTCTCACCTCCCCACCTTCAGCACCAAGCTTTACTCCATGTGTTTGGCGCAATGGAAAGAATAATAATAAATACACTTCACTAAAAAATTGTCAAGATACTATATTGGAGAGATGATCTGCATTATATTCAAAATTCATGAAATACTTTAGAAAACTTTGAAATGGCAGGTTAGAAATTTACACCCAGGTTTATCCAAAGCCATGTGCACTAAAAGCTATTACCTCTTTTAGTCTTGCTTTCCTCTTTAGTACTTGATCTTGCTGATAAGCATTGTTGTGATGTTTTGGAGGTCGACCACGTCGTACAGTCCGGCGGTGTCCAGGAAAATGTCGTGCTAATGCAACCTTTTCAGTCTACAGGAAAGATAATCTTGCACATTTTACTTTGTATTACTGAAAATCAAATTATTTTTCTGTACAGGTATGACTAATACTCAATTCTGACTAAAATACTGCAGTGTTATTGGGTACAAATACATAGAAATAAAATACAGGGAGATGAATGATGAAATGATTTGCCAATAAGCAAAGATAAAGCACCCTCTCTCATTAGGGCGAGAGCGCGACACACACGCACACAACCGGTGATAGGTTAACTGGAGCGTCACCACATCTCAGGTGAGGGGAAGAGGTTGAGAAAGAGTCCTTCATGGTACACCAGCCAGTATGGGAACCGAATCCACATTACTAGCATCACTCTGCTTTGCAAACCAGTCGTCAAGCCAAGTACTACATTTGGGCTCAGTAAATAACCAAATTGAATAACTTAGTCTAGTCAAATTAGCCCAAAACAAAAGCAGAATACACAAAAAAAAAATCCAAAAACACCTAAACATAGCATTTGCTTCACATCAGAATAACCTGCACAATGCTCATATCAATATGCATTCTGTCCTTCTCATTAAACAATAGAATTCTACACTTAACATCTCAACAACCAATCTTTGAATTAAATCTTAGAAACATGCCAAGATACAAGTACAGGGCTAGGAAGAAACTTTGATCAAGTTGAAAAAAAAAATCACCAATTTTAAACGGAAATAAACAAAAGTGCACATAAACTGCATGGTGGGCTGATTAAATATCTTAACCATCACAGTGCAGATTTATACACATGAATGTAACTCAAGTAACATCTGAACTGACACAAAATAAGAGATAACAAGTAGAGTAAACACATGCAAATGAGCAATTAAGTCTTGCATGTTAAATGTGAACCAGTCACAATGTCGAAAACTTTCAGTCAGATTTCACATCAATAAAAAGGTCATCCAACTACTTGCATTTAGATTGCAGAAATTAATAGCTCATGGTGCTTCACGGAAGCACAAGGAGCAAAAGGATCAAAGCAGACAAGCAAAGATAAGCAATCAACAGCTTGATCAATGAGAAATTGTACAGAGGATTGAAAGAACAAAGAGTAAGAATTACAGAGAATGGGGCTAAAAGCACAGATGCCAATTAATGTTCCTGTTAAGCTGCGCAATGGCTATAAAGTAACAGAGGCACTGTACAGTGAAAAAATAACATGCACATGACTACCCAAGAAATGTAAAGTAACCAGGTGCTGAAAGAAAACAGATTATAGACTAAGTTTAAATGGCAATACTGGTGCCAATGAAGGTTGGAGGGGATTGCAGAAGAAGCCAAAGTCAGAATGGAGATTTCAGCCAGACAAGCCTATTATGCGATTTATAGCAAGTAACAGTATTTTGTTTTGAGACTACATGGAAATAACTTGGGTCAGCAAGCATGTGGGTGCTGGTCAAGAAGTTCATGCCGCAGAATAACACAGAACAACGTATTTTGGGTCAGTTGAAGTTAACAATACAGAAGGGCACCATTGAAATGGTTTATTCTGAAAGTGACAATGGCATGGATGAGGACGTCAATAGAAGATGGGCTGAGGTACAGTAGAGGCAGAAGCAGGTGCTCTCTGTAGTATGCAGAATACAATGTAATTCAGGATAGAAAAGGAGGATGCAGGGAAAACAATCTGCTGTAACTCTAAAGCAGTAGGAAGGGTAGATGAAATCAATGGCAAGAGTGTGGAATTTGTGGGAAGTTTAAATACAATAGTTTCAGTCTTACCAGGTCAGCTGGAAAATATAGCTCATTAAGTCTAGGTGTCAGATAATGGTGGAGAAATATTGCTGGTTTTGTCAATTTAATTGCCACAATGTCAGAGAATGATGTAGCAAGGGACCACCATGTATTTGACGATAAGGAAGGAACCAAGAATATATTCTTGGTGAGAAGGAAAATTACTGGCAGAAATACTCAAATTATAAAATTACATTGTAAGAATTGAAACATGAAAGAGAAATCACACTAAAGCTGACAGAGGAAGGAGTCAACTACATCAAAGGCTGCTAATATAAAATGGGGAACTAATGCACCACAATTGCACAAAATCATCTGTAATCCGGAATTTATGTTTTTACACAGGATGTGGGTGCCCAGCTAGACCAGCATCCTTACTTGAGAAGGTCTGGGGAACCACCTTTTGATCTACAACAGTCAAAGTGTTGCAGTGCTCTTTGGGGGAAGAGTTCCAGGATTCTGACTCAGTAGCATTGAGTAAATGACAATATAGTTCCAAGTCAGGATAGAGTGTGGCTTGGAAAGGAACTACAGGTGTTGTTATGCCCATACATCTGCTGCACTTCTGCAACTTGGTGGCAGAGGTCACAAGGTTGGAGGTGGCATCAAAGGAACCTTGGAAAGTTGCAGTGCACCTTATGGTGGTAACTTTGCTGCACGTACTGCACGTTGGTGGTGGAGGGAGTGAATGTTTACTGCAGTGGGTGGGGTGCCAATCAAGCAGTTTGCTTTCACTTGGAAGGTGTCCAGCTTGAGAGTGTTATTGAAGCACCAAACAGATAAGCAAGTGGACAGTATTCCATCACACTCCTGGCTTGTGCCTTGTCAATGGCAGACTGACCAGATGTTAATAAAACCGTAAGATAGGAGCGGAATTAGGCCATTTGGCCCATCAAGTCTGCTCCACCATTCGATAATGGCTGATAAGTTTTTCAACCTCATTCTCCTGCCTTCTTCCCATAATCCTTGATCCCCTTATTAATCAAGGGCATACCTATCTCTGTCTGAAATACGTTCAATGACTTGGTTTCCAAAGCCCTCTGCAGCAATGGGTTCCACAGACTAGCCCCCCTCTGGATGAAGAAATTCCTCATGTCAGTTATAAATGGTCAGCCCTTCACTCTGAGGTTATGCCCTAATCTCTCCTACTAGTGGAAACATCTCTTCCACCTCCACTGTATCCAGGCCTCTCCATATTCTTCAAGTTTCAATGAGATGCCCCCGCTCATCCTTCTAAACTAATTCTAGTACATACGGAGTTCTCAACTGCTCCTCATAAGACAAACCCTTCATCCCCAGGATCATTCTTGTAAACCATCCCCTTGCCCCCTCCCCCAAACACCAGCACATCCCCCCTTAGACATGGGGCCCAAAGCTACTCATGATATTCCAAATGTGGTGTGCCCAGAGCCTTATGCAGCTTCAGCACTACATCTCTGCTCTTATAAGCCCTCTTGAAATGAATGCTAACGTTACATTTGCCTTCCCAACTGCCAACTGAACTTGCACTTTAACAATATCCTGAACAAGGACTCCCAAGTTCCTTTGTGCTTCACATTTTCAAAGCCTTTCCCTGTTCAGTCAATAGTCTACACCTCTGTTCTTCTGACCAAAATGCATAACCTCACACATTTCCACATTGTATTCCATCTGCTACTTTTTTGTCTACTCTCCTAGCCAGTCCAAGTCCTTCTGCAGCCTCCCTGCTTCTTAAACCCCTCCAGCTATCGTTGTGTCATCTGCAAATTTTGCAACAATGCCCTCAGTTCACTAAAATATAACATGAAAAGTTGTGGTCCCAATACTGACCCCTATAGTAATCCATTAGTTGCCATTCTGAAAAAGACCCCTCTCTGCCTTCTGCCAGTGAGCCAATTGCTATCCATGCTAGCACCTTGCCACAAACACCACGGGCTCTTATTTAATAGCTTTCTGTGCGGCACCTTGTCAAAGGCCTTCTGGAAATCCAAACAGATCATGTCCACTGGCTCTCCTGTGTCAAAACTTGCTCGTGATCTCCTCTTAACAAAACCATGTTGACTCAATGCCATTTTACCGTGCACCTCCAAGTACTCAGCAATCTTATCCTTATCATTAGAACCCTAAAATCTTACCAACAGCCAAGGTCAGGCTAACTGGCCCTATAGTTTCCTGTCTCTGCCTCCCTCCCTTCTTAAACAGGGTTGTTAGATTAGCCTTTTTCCAGTCCTCTGGGATCCTCCTTGAGTCCAGTGATTCCTGAACGATCACCACCAATGGCTCTAGAATCTCCTCAGCTATCTCCTTCAGTACTTTGGGGTGTAGTCCATCAAGTCCAGGTGACTTAACCGCTTCAGACCCTTCAGCTTCTCCAGCACCACCGTCTTAATGATGTCACTGGGAAAACGGGAGCAAAGCAACCAGATGCAAAATTTCTGGGTTTTGACCTGCTTTTGTAGCCACAGTATTCATATGACCAGTTTTTGGTCAATTCTAAACTCCAAGATATTGAAGTGAGGAGGAGCAGCAAAGGTAACGTCACTGAACGTCAACAGAGGATGGATAGATGTTTTGCTGATGGAGATAATCTTTGCCTGGCACATGTAGCGTGAATACGGTTTGCCACTCATCAGTTAAGCCTCTAATTTGTCCACGTCTTGCTGCACATGGACACAAACAGCTTCAGTATCTGGAGAATCAGAAATGGTACCAGACACTGTGCAATGAATCATTTGCTGATACTTGACCGTACACTGGGTCAAATGCTACCTTGCAAGGGCATTCACTCTCACCTCAGCTCTGATTTCAGCTTCTTTATCCATGTTTGGACCAGAGTTGTAATGAGGTCAGGGGCTAAACAGCCCTGGCAATTTCAGCATTGCAGCAAGGGCAGAAACATCATTTGAGAAAACAAAAAAAGTTGTGATAAAGATAGGAATTTTGGAGTTGACAGCATGTTCATGATTCCTGCTAGAAAGGGAGGGTGCTGACTTTGCTGAGGCAAAGGTGACATGAGGGAATGATTTAGCAAATGACAGCTGAAAAACTGGACAATGGAGAGGCAAAGGATAGACAGTTGAAAGAACTGGTATAAGCTACTAGGACAAAATGTATTGAAAGCAGAATTAATTTGATTCAAGCTGAATAGGTACTTCATTTTAGTCAGAAGGTTAGTACATTTTTTGGCTTCAGAAGTTTCTAGGTTACCAGAAACAGATCAATGGAATGACTAGTGGCACTTCAGCAGCAAGACTGCAAATACTGACATAGACTTACACAGCTGGAAACACACTACAGTCTGCTGCTGTTAGAATTTAAACTGTTACTACATGCAGTCTGATTAAGTATGATATATTTCCTTTTACTACAAGCCTGCAAAAATTCCTGCCACTATAAGAATCTGAATTCAGAATAACACAGAAATATCTAAAATTGCAAATCAATAAGCACACTGCAGTATAAATCAAACTATATACAGTGGGTGAAAATAGAACAATACAGTTGAGTGCTACTGGAATAGACAATTAATTTGTTCTGGAGGCTGACTGGTTATAAAAGTCTGCTTTGACACAATTCACTCAGCCATCATGTTTATTCTCCCATTTCAAATGTTTGGCACAGGTTTCAAACTTCAATTATTTTAAAAACAAACTTGTTAACCTAAAAAAGAATATAATCAATTAATTAAAAATCTCTTAATCTTTCTTTAATAATTTCAAATCGCAATTTCTCTTTTCTTCCCTTCATATTCTTCCAGATCATACAGTTGGCCTCTGTAGTGGGCCTCTGTTGAGAACAACTGACACCAGATTGTTCTGTTGTCTCCACAGTCAGTAACGGTAGAAAGAAGTCTGTCCCTTGTATGTTACATTTACAAGGAGTTTCAAACCATAGCTGCAACATATGAGACCACTTACAGGATCAGAAAAAAAAAAGTGCTTTTCCTGAATACCTGTGATAATTAAAACCTTCAGGACATAATTTTTCAAAGACATTTAATAGAATTACAGTATTATAATCACCATTTCTATATCACCTCCACTACATCTGTTTAAAATGATTGCTCAAGGGTTAACTGATTTTGCCACTAGCACTTTCATGAAACACCAAGATCCAGACAAGCTCAAATAAAAGGCCTCAGCCATAAGAATAACACTGAAATACTGAGCAAACATCGCAGACCCACAAAGAGTGACACAGTTTTGAAACATTTACATTCAAAGTCAATATATTAAGACAAAATACCTAAAACCACCAAAATTTAGATTCAAAGGCACTGAATAAATTCAAAATAATAAATGACAAATTGAATTTAAAAAGGAAAAAGAAATCATAAAATATAGTTTTTATAAATCAAAAAAACTGTCAAAACATTATGCTCAGCGTACCTTCCATTGTTATATTTCACTTCCTAATCAGTGACAACAGTTTTGAAAATTAACAGTTACTCTCAATATCTCAAGCAATGGATGCATGAATATGTTTATACTTTGCCAAACTGACCAGGAAGGTTGCAAATTTATTCATAAATCTCTGCCAAGTTAGTGAGTTACCCTGTGATATGTCCCCCCCTCCGCTTCATGCCCAGTCTAAACTGTCACATAAAAGAATATCCAGTTCAGTAGGTACCCAGTGTACTCAGCACATCATCTTCAGAATAGGGAACAGAAAATCTGAATTCATTATTTCATTACACACCTGTTGGAAGTCTTGGGAAGAAGGGGCTGTGCTGTCCACCATTACAGATGTAGCGTCAGTACCTATAGATGACACTACTAGTTCAGGAGCCATTTGACCATTTCTATCATCTCCATTGCCCCCAATAATCACATTACCATTGGATTTGTCCACAGAAGTTCTCTGTTCCTCAGAGACAGAAGCCAGCTGTCCATGCGATGGGTTGAGTCTATAATGCCGGGCTAACCCTCCCCTTCCAATGTAGGACTTTTCACAAGTATCACATTTGAATTTTTTGGGTTTGAACGAGCAAGGTATTGAAAGGCTTGACTCATCCACTTTTGTTTTCACATCTTCTTCGTCAAAACTGTATTCAGAATAATCATCAGAGTCTGACTGATGGCCCTCTGCCAAATCTTCAGTTTTGATAAATTTGTAGTCCTTTACTTTGTATTTTGGAGGTCGTGATATTCGACCAGATCGAGTTTTAATCTTCACAGGTTTTTTCTCCTTTGATTTATCGCTAGGTTCATGCTTCTTGGTATGGCTAGAACAAACTGAATTTCCTACAGCTGTTGTAATGGCAGTTACACTGGTACTTGCAATACCAGACTGTCCACTGATGCTCACTCCTGGAATCACTCGAATGGCATTTACAGGTGCAAGTGGAGGAGGCTGGCGCTGAACAAGTAGCTGAATTGGAGGTTCTGAAGAACTGTGCAAAATATACTGTTGTGTTCCAGATGTTGAAATTGGCTGGATTCTAATAATCTGAGGTCCAGAAATATTAACTCCCCCTGAAACAGTGGTCCTTTTGTTAGCCAGCTGACTAGATGCTGCAGGTTTGGGCTGTACTACAGCTAGAGGTGGCATAGGCCTATCTTTTTCCTCCTGCGGCTGAACTGTCTGTATATGAACTTGGACAGTTTCTAGTTGATGCTGCAAGAAAAGAGACAGAACTTAATATTCACTGACTCAAAAATTCACAAATACAGTGCAATTATTCAATGAGTAACTGATCAGTAAGGTTTAGAGTCAGAGTGCTGAGTGAAAATCTTTCAGCCAAGGTACAACAACAATGTTCCCCTTAGTAGTAACAAATGTGCCAATGACGGAAATACATAGCATGTCAATCATATGTTTTAGAATATAACATTTTGGAATTTAAGTTTAACCAGTTTAAAATTGATAAACAACCAAGATAACTTAAAATTCAAAGGTCTAACACAATTTTTAACCTTTCAAGTCAATATGAAGGTATTTTACATGCTATTTCCCAATCCACTGGGACCCTTCCATAATCCAAGGAATTTTCAAAGATTATAACGATTTATCTATTATCAGTGCAAACACTTAAGGTTCAAGGATGCAAACCTTGGGACTGCTCAGCCTTTAGCTTGATTGATTTTCTTTGGTACTTTTTCCCAGTTGATCATTTCAAGTTCACACCCACCCCTTTGAGAAGTTTTAAGTCTTCTATTGTGAAAACAGACAAAATACCTGTTCAAAGCCCTCACAATTTCTTTACTTTCCATTATCAATTCTCCAGACCCACTCTTTTCCTATTCAAATATTCCCAACCTTCAAATCTACCCAAACGTGCCCCTGTTAAAATTCCAAAGTTTGCTCAAACAATGACCACCAGGGTTCAATAGTGAGCAAGACAGGAACAGAGAGAAAACGGGAAATATTTTCTTTTCAAACAAAAGCAAATTACTGTAGATGCTGGAAATTTGAAATTAAGACATAAATATTAGAGAAACCCAGCAGCTCTGGCAGCATTCGTGGAGCCAGAAAATAAAGTTAATGTTTTGAGTCCAATATAATTTTTCTTCGAGAAAATAAAATGCAACAGTTAGTTAAAATTGTACTTCAGAAAACAAACATACTGTATTTTAACATTCAGTGTCACATTGTCATACATTTCAATTTGATGAGGAAAAGATGAAGAAGTGTTTCAAATTAAACAAAACCTAACTTTGAGCTCACAATACAATTGGTCAAATAAATTTACAGGCTGTTCCAACATAACTACAATGTTATGGGCATACAACTTATAGATCAACAAAAATTATGCTACTCACTTGAAGTGAGACAAGGACAATACAATCATTTCCACATTTAAAATAAGAGTTTGGCTACACGTACAATTAAAGAGGATTAAAGATTTTAACTATCAATAAACATTGAGTAATTCTGATCATATTCTCCAAAACTGTCCAGAAAGTGTATTAATGATGTGAAATGAAAAAATATACATAAGAAATGCTGATTATAATATAATGAAATCAAGTCATTTTGCAAATTAAATTAAATTTTTGAAGCCCAATGTTATGCTAACTTCAACTTGCTTTGTTCCAAAATCTGTAACTGACCATTAATAAACAGTTGGTGTAATTTTCTAAAAGTCAATGTGCGTAAACAAAACCTGTGACAGTTGCAATTTGATAACTGGAAGAAAATTCACACAAACAGATGTGTTGTGATATTTTGTTACCAAGTTTTCAGATATGACACTATAATTTTTACCTAATGATGTACTGTACTTACAACAATGCCTTATAAGCACTTGCACTGTTAACATAACTTTTTTTAAAACTGATTTTCCACATAAGAGGAACCTAACCCATAAAAATCTTAAACACAATTCTAGAATTTAAGAAAGTATGCTTTTCTTAAGTACATGAATTTGAATAGGCATGGTCAAATACGCAATATATTGGAAAATCAGGAATGAAAATTAAAACGATAACTTCAAACAAACACCTTTTCTCTCCTGAGGATAACTAGTCATATTGGGTTAAAAAAAAGTTCCTTAGAAGAATGATGAAAATACTTCTTATACATGGTACTATTGTTAAATGCTGCGCATACAATGTTGTGCCTCAGGAGGAGTTTTCCAAGGAATTAGCCTAGTTCAATTGCTCCTGTGATCTCCATCCATTCTTTTCATAATATGGTTTGAGGTGAGTCACTACAAATTTGATTATTGTGAAACTTCAACTAAGTGTTCAGACAGGATGAATTTCAAACTCTAACAATGCTCCAATCTTGAATTAGTTAAATTTTAGCTTAAAATCTGTATTGTAAAACTCAAGAGGTCAATCAACACAGTGCTGTATTTACACTACAGTGTTGGTGTGAAGCAGTTTGACTTTTCAATGATTAAAGAAGTTGAAAAATAATTTTAAAATTATTGCAGGACTAAAAATGCGCATGCACACTTAAACACAATGTATAGCATTCTAGTAGTGTAGGTAGCAATCAGGTTAGACACTAATTCTACATTTCTATGTCAAATTCTAATCACTGAAATAGCACTGCACCGACAATACAAATGTGATGAAAATACAACCACTGCAGTTGGGTCACTCAAGTCAAAAGAAACATGACTGATCCCTTAAAAGGTATACGGAGGTATTTTTAAAAGAGGTCACATTAAGATAACTGGAGTGAAGTCTTTACAAATGACCTATGCAATGTAAAAAAAAAATTTGTTCACAGAACATTGGCACACTGAGAAAGGTCAGCATTTATTTCCCATATCTAATTTCCTCAAGAATTTGGTGAGGAGCTACCTTCTTTAACCATTGTAATTTTATCTGATGTAGATACATCCACAGTGCTGTTAGGGAGTTCCCAGATTTTGTTCCAGTAGCAGGTAATGTACAGCAAAATAGTTCCAAACTCAGGATTTGGAGTGGAACGTTCAGATGGAGTCGCTCCTATGCATCTCCAGCACTTGTTCTTTAAGCTGGCATAGCTGTTACAGGTTTTAAAGGTACTGTCGAAGGAGTCTTGGTGAGTTGCTAAATTGCATCTCAAATACGGTATAGTATGCTCTGTTATCATTGTGATGCTAGTCATTTTGGAAGTGAAGGTTCAAGGGGATGGATGGGGTGCTAAGGAACTAATGTTTTTGTTCTGAATATTGAGATTCTTGAGTATAATTGGTTCTGCATTCATCCAGGCAAGAGAAGAGAATTCCATCACACTCCTGATTTATGCCTTGTAGCTGGACAGACTTTAGGGAGGCGAGAGGCAAGTTACTCACTGCAGAATTCCCATCATTTAACCTTCTGTTAAAACTATAATATTTACGTGACTGGTCTAGTTAAGTTTGGCAAAGGTAAGATAAGGATGATGGGGGACTCAGTGATTATTATGCCAATAAAAGATATGAGGAGATGGTCAGCTTCACTACAAGAACAATCAGTGATTTTGAACATTGCATCAAGTTCCTCATAATTGAGGAGAATAGCTACAATTGAAATGATGATTAGAAGCAGTTCAATCTTAAATGCTGATTTTCAAACTTTTAGCAATCATGAATTTCTTGTACCTCCCACAATCCTCAAAAGTATTTAAATTAAGAACCACAATAATGACAATGGCTGTAATTAATATGAAGATAAGTACTGGGATACATTGAATAATTAACATTTGACAGAAACTGAAGTGAATTTTTGCAACATCTGGTATAATTTCCATTGGATTAGCTCTAGCATATGATAGTAAGTGATAATAACTAGGCCTGGAAATATAAATTTTGCATGTTTGGATTGGTGCCTAATTAGCATACCAGCATTTTAGGAATAATCACAATGAATGTACAGTCTTGTCACAGCTTTTATTTCAAAGGAGGACAATAAACATCCAGAATCAGATTGAAAACTGACATTATATTTCGTCAAGTTTCACAGTATGCTCCAATGATCAAAACTAAGAACAATTTATAGCTATATAGTATCTTTAAGTGAAACCATCCCTAGTCACTTCACAGAAGTATTGTAGGAGAAAATGTAGTACTGAGCAATGTTAGCAAAGGAGGTCCAAAAGAAATAGGAACAGGTACAGACCCTTTGACCTCTTGAACTTGTTCTGCCATTCAACAGGATGACGAGTGATCTGAAGCTCCTCATATCCACTTTGCTGTACTTTTCCCCCTAACTCTTGATTCCCCTACGAATCAAGACTCAATTCATCTCAGCTTTAAATATACATAATGACTCTGCTCCCACAGGACTCTGTGGCAAGGAGTTCAAAAGACTCTCAACTTTCAGAAAAAAGACATTCCTCCTCATCTCAGCCTTAATAGGCACCCCTTTACTCAAACTATGCCCTCTGGTCCTGTACTGTCCCATGAGGAGAAACATCCTGTCAGCATTTACCTTGTCAAGCCCCTTAAGAATCCTTTAAGCTTCAATGAAAATCTCTCTCATTCATTTAAATGCCAGTGAATAGGGTCCCAACCTGTTTAGTATTTGCTCAAAAGGCAATCCCTCCATACAAAGGATCACGCTGGTGAACCTTCTCCAAATTGCCTCCAACGAAATGACATATTTCCTTAAACAGGGGGACCAAAACAGCTCACAGTATTCCAGATATGGTCTCACCAATACCTTGTAAAGTTGCAGTAAGACATCCCTACTCTTACACTCCAATATCCCTTGAAATAAGGACCAACATTTCATCAGCATTTTCGATTACCTGTGACACTTTTGTGTTAGCTTTCTGTGTTTTGTGCACAAGTGCCCTGAAGTCTGTGTGTGGAAGCTTCCAACAGTTTTTCTCCCTTAAATAATACTGTTCCCTTGTTCTCCCTTCCAAAATGAACAACTTTATATTATCCTCCATTTGCCAACTTTTGCCCACTTACTTAACCTCCCAAAATCTCTGTAAACTGTTTGAATCCCTCTCACAACTTGCCTTTCCACTTATTGTGCCATTTGAAAATTTGGCTACAGCACATTTGCTTCCTTCCTCCAAGTCATTACAAAAATATTATAAACAATTGCAGTCCCAGCACAGATCCCCATGGTACCCCACTCATCACAAGTCGCCAATCTGAAAAAGAACCCTTATCTCCACTTGCTGTTTCCTATCTATGGCAATATACTACCTCCAACACTGTGGGCGCTTATCTTATGACTTAATGTTTTGTGAAGCACCTTATCGAACACCTTCTGAATGGCAAGAAAATAGATCTGATGACCAAAACCTTGGTCAAAGAGGTAGATTCCTCAGTACATTAAAGAATTATAAGTGACATTAACAGGCAGAGGGACTTCGGGAAGGAAGTTGACAGTTTGGGACCTAGGCAACTGAAGGCACAGCACTAATAGTGAAGCAATTAAAACCAAGGACCACAAATCTGGAAAGAAACACAACACAGAATCATAGAATCCCTACAGTGTGGAAACAGGCCATTCCACCCAACAAGTCCACACTAACTCTCCAAACAGCATTCCACCTAGACCCAAACCCTACCTTATGACCCTGCATTTCCCATGGCTATTCCACCTAATCTACACATCCCTGGACAGTGTGGGCAACTTAGTATGGTCAATCCACCTAATCTGCACAGCTTTGGACTGTGGGAGAAAAGCGGAGCACCTGGAGGAAACCCACACAGACGTGGGAGAACGTGCAAACTCCACACAGTCACCTGAAGCTGGAATTGAACCCACGTCCCTGGCACTGTGAGGCAGCAGTGCTAACCACTGAGCCACCATGCCACCTTAGTTATGGAACTGGAGGAGACTATAATAATAGTGAGACACGAGGCCATGAAGGGATGTGAATACAAAAATGAGGACTTAACAGTCAAGGAATTGCTGGACTGGGAGCCAATGTAGGTCAGCAAGCAACTTAATACAAGCTAAGACACAGGTGAAGTTTTGAATGACCTCAAACTTAGAGGACAGAGTTTGAGAGCCCAGCTAGGAGCACAATGCAACAGAATCATACAAAACGGGCTCTTCAGCCCACCAAGTCTGTATCACCAAAAATATGCTACTTCCTATGCAAGTACCATTTTCCCCACACTAGGCCCATTACCTTGAATGCTATCATCCTTCAAATGCTCATCCAAGTAAATTTTAAAAGGTTGTGAGGTTTCCCAACTCAACTATCCTTCCAGACTGCCCATTACAGATCAACTCAAGCAGCTTCTAAGTGAAAAAAATTTTCCTCAAATCCCCAGCTCCAGCCTTTCACTTTAAAATTATGTCCTCTTGTTACTGAGCCTCTCTTCATAGAAGAAATGCTCAATCCCAGACAATACCTTGGTGAACTTCCTTTGTACAGGAGGGGGTACAATCACATCCTTCCTATCATGTGGCAACCAGACTGGTACACAATACTCCAGCTGTGGCCTAAACAAAATTCTGTTCAGCTCCAACATGACCTCTGTGCTCTTATAATCCATGCCACGACTGATAAAGGCAAATGCCTCATATGCTTTTTTAACTATCCTATTTACTGGCTCAGCCAGTTTCAAGGATTTGTGGACATGCACTCCAAAATTCCTGTGATCATCTGAACTTCCATTCAATTAAGTACTCTCTGGTCTTGTTCCTCCTTCCAAAGTGCATCACCTCACGCTTATTAGGATTAAATTTCATCTACCACTGATCCCACCCGATCAATCTTTGTGTCATCAGCAAACCTACTTATCATGCTCCCAGCATTCTAATCCACATGTGAATGATGTGGAGGTGCCGGTGTTGAACAAGAGTGGACAAAGTCAGAAATCACACGACACCAGGTTATAGTCCAACAGGTTAATTTGACAACACAAGCTTTCGGAGCCTCAGTCCTCCTTCAGGTGTTAGTGAGACAGGTAGTATCAGACACAGAATTTATAAGTAAAAGATCAAAGCTGCACACCATTGATGAGAATGTCCTAAGCAAACCTGAAATGCTGTTAAATCTTTAATCAGTTAGAAGGTTTTAATTGATTAATATGTATATGTAAATCCCCGAATTCCTTTCAAGTCACAGTCCTGAGAGAATTAAAGGTTTTATCAGTGTAACTTTACACTGTTACAAAGTTACATTGATAAAACCTTTAATAGCAAACTGCTACCAAGCCACTCTGGATCCCATGAGCTTTTATCGTCTTTACCAGTTTCCTGAATGGGATATTGTCCAAGGCCTTGCTGAGATCTATGTAAACTATATCAACTGCCCTCCCCGATCCAAATATTCTGTAACCTCCTTGAAATATTCCACCAGATTTGTGACTTCCCCCTGACAAAGCCATGCTGACAATCCCTGATCAAACCGCGCTCTCTAAATGGAGATTAACTTCTTTCTTCACTATCTTCTTCAATAGTTTACCTACTACTAATATGGTAGAATCACTGGTTTATAGTTCCCTGGTCTATTTCTACATCCTCCTCGTAAAGTGGAACCACCCCAGCTCCTATCCTCTGGAACCTCCCCTGTGGCCAGAGAGAATTTAAAAAGTTGAGTCAGGGTTCTTGTAATTTCCTCCCTCGTCTTCCACAGCAGCCTGGGATCCAACTCATTTGGATCTAAGGATTTGTCCACTTTTGCCTATCTACCAAAACCTCCAATAGCTCCTCGCTTCTTATATGAATCTGCTCAAAAAAGTTACAGCCCATCTCTTCCCATTCTGTACTTGCATTCTCCTTCTCCCGCGTAAGATGTAAAGTACTCATTTAAAATTCTACCAATGTCCTATGTCTTCACGCACAGATTATCCGCTTGGTTTTCCTAATAGGTCCTAATCTTTCCCTTTTCTTCTACTTGATATACTTGTAGAATATCTTAGGATTCTCCCTAACCTTGCCTGCCAGCAATTTTTCATGTCCCATCTTTGCCCTCGTAATTGCTTTCTTCAGGTTCCCCCCTACACTTTTTACACATGTGCAGGGCCTTTACTGTTTTGCTCCCTTTGTAACTGTTATATCTCTTTCTTTTCCTTTTTATTCAGTCCTGAACATTTCCAGACATCCAGACTTCTCTAGGTTTATGAAAACTACAATGGCAAAGACATTAATACGCACGAGATGAGCGAAGACTGCACAAGTTGAAGCAACATTGTAGAAAAAGAGTCTTAGTTATGGTACAAATGTAAGCTTGGAAGTTCCTCTCAGGGTCAAATGCTACACTGAACTGGCTTAATTTCAGACTGTTGCCAAGAACAGCAAGCAAGTCAGCAGCCAGTGTACCCAGTTTGGAACGGCATCCAAATACATTGACAAGATGAGTTTCAGGACAGCATGAGGGAGAAAGGATAGAAACAAGACAAAGATGAGTTCAGGGCTAGGGCAGAGGGAACAGCATAAAAGGGAAGTTCAGCCAAGTAGACTACTAGAGGGGAGAGATGCAGTAGATTCAGCAGTTTAAATTATCTCAATCTTAGACAAAGAGGTTAATGAGCTCCTTCCACTTATTGCTGGAGAGAAGGATGGAGGGAACAAAGGAGAGGGGTTTAAGAAAATGGTTTGGAAGGAAGAAAAAAAGCCATGGGTTACATTTGCATTCTTGGATGATCTGGGAATAGAGCACAACCTGACAAGTGTTTCAACTGGCCATCAGAAATGGCAGTGACTGCCAGTTGTCTGTCATACCTTTCAAGTTTGCATCCCATGAACTTAAGGAAGTGGAGATGAGGACTGTACCAGGAAAACAAATAGGATGAGAGAATAATGGTCTTTTTGGTACCAAGTTAAAGATGTAGAAGAGTACAACTGTGTAAGAGAAAACAAATGCCAAATAGAAAGTTAGGGTTTTGAAAGTGAATTTCAAAATGCAGAACTACCAGGACACAGGAAATAACAAGATTATGCCATTTAGCACCACCAGCCGACTCCACCATTCAATATCATTGATCTGATACAAGTGCCCTTTTAACTTGACTTTCACTCCACATACCCCAAGACACCCTTGTTGATCAATAATCTAACTCCAGCCTTGTATATATTGAGTCACCCAATCTCTCCTCCTGACTGGAGAAAGAAAAATGTGAAATGTAATTACTTTCTGAGAGAATAAATTTCTCTCTGTGCTCTTAGTTTTAGATTTGTTCCCAAAGAGAAGCATTCCTTCAGCATCTAATATGTCATACCCCCAGAATGTTAAATGCTTCAATAAGTAAATAATTCTAAGTTCTGATTGACTATAGTCCAAACTTTTCTCAGAAGACAACACCTTCAAGCAACAAATTAAAACCCTTTTCTAATTACTAGTGTAAGTATATCACTCCTGACAGGAGATCAAAAATGTGCACAACATCCTAAATGCAGTCTCGCCAAACCTATACAGTATAGATGTAGCAAGACTTCTTCAATTCTGTATTAACTACAAAACAAATGACATTCGAACTTATGAAAAATTGTTGATTGAAACGAAGTACCAAAAATGCATGTACCTGGGTTGAGGGTGTAACTCGCAACGGAGCCATCTTTTGCTGTGCACGTGCAATGCTTTGTTGTATACTCTGCTGAAGAGCAGCCTGGTGAGCAGCATTTTGCAACTGTCGCGTTGCATTGTGAATTACTGTCAACGGCTGAGTAAAGACAGCCTGCTGCTGTGAAACAGCCGTTAGAATCTTAGGTTGACTAGGCCGGTTCACTGTAGAGGACTGGCTGGAAATATTTATTTGCTGAATTTGGGTTGGGTTGCACGAATCTATCCTTTGGACAACTTGACTTGGATGAACACTGGCATGCATCTGCTGCATCATAGCATTGCACTCAGGCACTTGTAACATCTGATGCTGATCCGTGGAAAGCACTCGAGTTTCTGGAGGAACATATGATGCCAAGCTGGTCTTCTGAAGAATTTGATTTTCAGCAGGCTCAGCGTTCAATTGCACAACACTGTTTTTGCCGAATTGCGTCGCTTGCTGCTGAGACTTTGTAACGTGAGTGATGACTTGCTGGAGATCATCTGTCAGACCCACATGCTGCACAAACTGAGCATGTTCCTGCTGTTGCTGATGATGACTACCAAACATTTGAGCCGCTTCGCTTTCGCTTACTTCTACCAGTCCCTGTTGCTTTGCTAATTGCTCGACCAGTTGTTGCTGTTCCTCCGGGGTTAGCCCCGTGCCCTCCACGAAAGTGCCATCGGGCTGCACATAAATAATGGTGCTGGGGGTGGACTCGATCGAGATGCTCTCCAGCTCCTCCGCGGCTACCGCGAAGTCACCCGCGCTCACCGCTGCCACGGTGCCGCCAGCTGGAGGGGCCTCCGCCAGAGAGTTGATGATGCCGTTGGCGGTCAAGAGGCCGCTCGCACCATCGGCTAAAGTGCTGACCGCCTGAGTGGGCTCTTCTCCTCCCCCCACCACAACCTGCACGATCTCCTCCGGCAGCACTTGGCATGAGTGGGCATCGAACTGCTTGCAGGGCACGTTGACACAGCCGGTCTCCGCGACTGCGGTGCTCTGCTGTACCAGGGTCTCCAGGCAGTCGGTGCCATGCTGCTGGGGAGCTGCCCCCTCTTGTGTAGTCAGCCTGTTCTCCTCGTCGTCCGCCATGTTGGCGGCCCTGCTCTCAGGCAGAGGGAGTCGGGAGCGCCAACACTAATTTCTCCAGCGAGCTTTTTTTCAACCCGGAACCGGCGCCGAGGTCGAAAAAGGCAAAAACAAGCCCCGAGCAGCGGCCGAAACCGAAAAAATCGGCGAAAGGGTCGCGAGAAAGATTAATCCCCGTCCGCAAAAAAAGCAGTCGTTATGCGGACGTCACAGGCGTCGAGACAACATGGCGGAAAGCGGGTCTACGGCAGCCGGCGAAGCTGAAAAAGAACGCGGCTGCTGACGTCAGGATTTTGAGGTTGCTAGTGGAGGGGGTGGGGAATGGGGAGAGGAGGATGAAGTGACGGATCTAGGGTGGGAAAGCGGAGAAGCTCCAGGGGGCCCACATATGCCAATCCCACGTAAAACCTAAAATAATTATGAGGAGGCATCCTCTCCCCACCCGACCGGTTTTTTTTTTAAACACGAATGCTCGCGATCCCATTTCAGTACATATTTGCAGAAACATTTTTTTGGAGAGGGGGCACTGGGAAGAAGAAAACAGGGATGAAAGTCGTCAATTCAGCGAAAAGTATATTTGAAATATCTCACAAGTATTTTATACCTTAACACAACTTTTTACTTCGGGTTTGAGGAAAAAAAAGGAAATTTCGCCCAACGTGGGGCTCGAACCCACGACCCTGAGATTAAGAGTCTCATGCTCTACCGACTGAGCTAGCCGGGCGCTGTGTAAGTTGTTTGCTATAGAGGCTCATAACAACAAATCTGCTTCAACGATTCTTGTAAGGAACATTAGAGAGCTGTTTCCGGAGAATGTTGGCTAATGCATTTCATAGTTAACTACCACGAATCATAAAGGTTTAATGGGTTTGGAAAACCACAACTGTAATGAATGAAGGGAGGAATAAATAAGGTTTTAACAATATAGTGTGAAGTCTATCTTGTACTTTTTTAAAGGAAACAGTAAAATTGGATTGAGATTTTATTTTTTTTGCACCAGAAGTTGTATAAGAACGTGTTAATGTGTTACTGGAATTTTGAATCCATATATTTGATTTATTGAATACTGAAAAATGATCATTGGATACATATATCAGGAAATAGAAAATTACACTGGATGCAAAACTCTCCAGTACTGTTTTCAAATTTCTGTCACATCTGTTCCAAGTACAAAGGCCACATTAAATAGACATTTTTTGTCTGTATCTGCCAAACTAAATCTGTAGAGCACAATATTTTTTCATCTGAGTAATGTGGCCTGTGAAATTGTGGAAGAAACACAGTTCAATGTCTTAGTTCACTGGATCCTGATATCACCAAGGGGATAAGAAAAAATATTAGATAACAAGGTGTAGAGCTGGATGATCACTGCAGGCCAAGCAGCATCAGAGGAGCAGGAAGGCTGACGTTCCGGCCCCAGACCCTTCTTCAGGCTTGAAATGCCAGCCTTCCTG